AATTCACCTCCCCCTCTTCGTCGAGAACCCTTATTCAACGGTTTCACATCGATAAACTCCCTTGTGCCATGTGTGCGGCGCAGAAGATGCAATGTCAGGGTCACTGCGCCCCTACCGCGGAAGGGTGGCGAAACATACTCACAAACTCTCCCATTAATTGTATTCGCGACGGGTGAGAAGGCCGTAAGGAAAGAAGCGCGCGCAGGTGCCGTATAGCTATAGAGGCTAGACGTTTAGTATAGCCCGGCCGTGCCACACAAGGCTAAGACACTGCGCCGGGCTCCCGACCGGGCTGCAGAAATTAGGTGCCTTTCTCCTCTTTTAACCACTACCACCACCACCACTAGGCGTGTTTCAGCCAGTGGCTACCAGGAGGCGACTCTGCTCGATCTTGAGGTGAGTAGGGCCTCTCTTGGATAATCAAACGTGTGTGACAGCTTTTCTCTGTGACGTCACTATCGGCGGTAGTTTAAACAGATGGTGCACTTGTATATCAAGTCTTGAGATTCCCCCTCTCCCCACGCGTACGGTTCTGAAGAGATTAAGTAAAAGTAATGTAAGAATGATTCATTGATATCTGGGATTTAGCGTTCCAAAACCACCATATTATTAAGGTAGGCGCCGTTGTGGTGGGCTTCAAAAATTTTGCCCACCTGAGGTTCTTTAACGTGCTCCCAAGTCTGAGTACACGGGCACAGCATTTTCGCCTACATCGAAAATGCAGCCGCCGCAGTCAGGATTTGATCCCGAGATTTGCGGGTTAGCAGCCGAGTACTTTAGCCACCAGACCACGGCGGCGGAGTAGTACTGTAAGAAGTACTCTAAATACAGTAAAGCATAGGTACAGTGACCATTTGGAGCAACGGCCTCTCGCCGCACCATTGAATGGACTAGTCTTCGAAAACGCATTATTGCGATCAGCCACCCTATCGAAGAATACATCGGTAATCATCAATCTTTCTTAAGCGTAGATGGCGTAGTCCTCGCCAGGGCGAAGTGCCTTTGACAGGTCAAGGACGGTTCTGCTTAGAACGAGGAATGAGAGGAATACGCAGCATGTTTTTGTACATTCATATTTACATTTTGGTTTCGCTTACTTTGCTGAGCGAATTTCTTACTGTCGATGTCTGTGGCTTCATGCCTATGGGAATTATTTTTAGGTTAATCTCTACATGTGAAGCCGCCCTGATACAGTCGTAGCTCTTAGTCGCGTTTTTTTTTTTTTACTTTACTGCGTGCATCCAAGCATGCTTGCGATACGCAATAATATTTTTTGTTAGATATGCTGCATGTTGGCAACACCATTTTGCACACGTTATTTTTCTAACAGACTTTCAGTTGCACTGTGACTATTCATAGCAATGAAGTACTCTAATCATGTAGGTTTTACCGTGCAATGTCCGAGGGCAAGGTAATCATTGATCAGAAATGTTCTCTTCTTTATTTATTTATTTAAAGTACTTTACAGAACCCTCTATTGATTGTTATAAGAATGCGATTCAAGTTATGAACATGTAAGCAAAATACATACTAAAAAAGTAAGTTACAATATGTAAAGGGGTGAAGGTGAAATAGAAAAAAATATTTTTGACAACTGCAAACTAGCAATAGTGCAAAAAAACACTGACAAAAATTTCAGTGTAAATAAATGTACAGAATGCAAAAAAAGCAGGAGAAAGGAAGATAAAAAATCGATCAGCAACAGAGACACATATGGTTATGAAGATGCGACAGTAACGTAGAGCCAGCCCCCCCCCCCCCCACCCCCCCCCCCCCCCCCCCCCGAAATTTTTCGTCCAACACGTATCCTCACCCTGCCACTTACTCAACTTTTTTTTTTGTCGCATCGCACTTAAATAATTTAGAAACCAAGCGCTGCTACTATCACAATATCATTGCTGGGCGCTTTTACAATGAATAATGTCTGCATGCAGAAAAACATGTCGCGGTGTTTCTCAAGGCTTAACACTCAGTGAGAATTTGAGCAGGAATCTTGGCCGCGAGTGTTTTAAGTTGGCTCGGCGATGGGATTAATGCTCAAGCGGTGGTCATACTTGTACCCGCCGGAACAGATCTCGCCAGAGTTGATCACTGCGGTAATTTTCAATAGGCAGAGGTTTACTTTAATGGAAATAGCCAGACACAGTTCCAAGGTCTGATAGGCCAGCACGTTCAAGCATATTACAGTGTGACTTTTCGTACGTGCGCTAAGACATACTCAAGCCAGAGAATAACATTTCTATTGAACCTTCACACGTTCTGCTAACATCTAAACACACACGCACGCACACACAAACACACACACACACACGCGCGCGCGCGTACGACAGAATATTCGCTTTATACCTAACTCGGCTTTTACGTGTGCGAGTGTATAATATATTTATGCATATCTTAATTATGCCTTATAACGTCTACGGCACTGCGAAGTGTTGTCTAGTGACGGAGGTGCAAAACAGGCAAACGTGCAGGCTAATCACAGCCTTTGAAGGCCTACTGAAACAGTCATTATGTAACTTTAGCACATAAATAAAAAGATAGCGGTCATAACCCTAAAGCAGCGTATACATAATGAGAAATGCAGTGAGTGCACCTGTAGTGAGCGCAAGCTTTATTGTTCAGCACTGTGGCAAACAGCGCAAAAATAAGGAACTCAAAGCTGTAAAAAAATATACGACAAATAATATATATTGATTTGCTTCATCTGTCCGTTTCTTTAAATTGACATGACTGGAAGGGCACACCGAGCAATTTCTGCAACTATAGTGACATGATGCACGACAAGAAATGCACAGAATGTAAAAACATGGGTGAATTTTTTACTTGAAATGAAAGAAACTTTGTGCAAGAAATGTCTCACGTCGCAAACAGACACATAAATAGCGGAATACTGTGGATTATTTTTTTTTTCATTTGACACGATTTTTCTGCGCACTGCATGTCACAATATATGTCCCATATGTTAACTAAAATTTCCTAGAGTTGTCACATGCCAATATGGGTTGTTGCATTGTCGTTCACGCCTTTCTTATCCGCTAACCACGTCTGCAAGAGAAAAGTGCCTGAAAAGCAAGGAGTAGGCTACAGGAGAGAACGGAATAACTCTTTCATGCTGTCAAAGTGATTTTCAGCAATATTTCTTATACAGTTGAACTTGCGCCCTTACAACTGGACGAAAAGTAGCGCATGCTGACTTCACTAAAACCCTCTTTTTTACTATACCCGCCAGGGTGGTCTAGTGATTATGGTGCTCTATTGCTGACCCGCAGGTAGCGGGATCAAATTCCTGTCGTATTTTTTATGTAGTTGAAGATGCTTTGGGCCCGTGCACTTTGATTTAGGTGGATGTTATTGTACCAAAGTGGTAAAATTTCCAGAGCACCACACTATGGCCTTCCTCGTAGTCATATTGTGTTTTTGGATGTTAAACCCTATCAATTGATCATTAACAACCATGTTTTAACTGTTGTTCAAAACATCTCAATCCAAGAATAATTTCAGTCAACTTTCATCTTTGATTGAGCTGGCGCCTACGGTTGATATTACACACAGATTCGGCTGAAGCCGTCTAAGTTCCCGTAATAGAAAGAATGTCTTCATGGCGGACTTGCATTTCACGGTGGATGTTCATACAGCGATACCAAACAATCTTTCATTTGTTGTTGTAGCCCTCAGGTACAACTTCAGGCGTCTCAGCGATGAAAAAAAAAAGTGTTCTGCTTCAGCTGAACTCACCAGCAGATTTGCCGGAATCTTTAGAAGATGGTGCACGTTAGGGAAGAATAACTCTGGGCAATTGGCAACCGCTTGCATCGCAGACATGCTCAGCGTTTCTCGCTTCCATTTCGCAGCCTATACTGCTATTCACTCAGTTCTGAGCGCCAGTCCAAGCTGCTCATTTCACTGCCCCAACGATGTGGATCGATCCATCTACGATTTTTCAGTAGAAGCAGAATCCAACAAGGTACCCACCTATCACTGCGAAGGTCAAGCTAATTTCTGTCCTCAAGTTCTCAAATCGCTTGCACATTATGTATTGCTTACACATACAGGGTGCCCCAGCTTTCTTTAGCCGAAGTGCAAAAGTATGCCGACAGCCGCAATTACGACGCGACCAAATGCATGTTGCTGACCGTTGCCTGGAGTTAGTGGGGGTATTTTCTTCGTGTTCTAAAATAGTTAAACAGATTTAATTAAACTAACTTTTGAAGAAACGAAGATAAATAAAACGCTTCAATGAGAAAGTTGTAGAACGGTTTTCAAAACTTCCAATTAGACAATTTCGAACTTTATATCTGTTGATTATAAATGTTTTTTCTGCCAACTACAAATGCCCGCAATACCCGTTCGCGCGCCAGTGCGCACGGTGATTCTAGTGCTCCCCAACGTTCCACGTACGAACGACCATAGGATTCACCCAATTGTGCTGCCTCGACAGGGCCGCAACGATGGTGATGACTTTGCGATGAACACGTTTTGCTATCGGCCACAAAAGCGATAACATCTGTACCTGCTTATCGCCGTCATGAACCGTTGCGAGGGAAGCGTATCGTTCGTACACGGAGCGTTAGAGGGCACCAGAATTACGACGCGCGTAGGCGTGCCAGTGGGTTTGTCACGTGGTATTTTTTCGTATTTTGCGGGCATTTGTAGTTTGCATCTGTTAAGTATTAGTGTTTTTTCTGCTAAGTTCAAAACTGTCAAATCAGACGTTTTGTAAACCGATCTAAACCTTTCTCGTCGAAATTTCTTAACATCTTCATTCTTTGAAAATTTACTAATTAAACAGATCTAATTAAACAATATTTTAAAAAACAAAAAAGTAGTCGAACTCCAGAGAACAGTCGGCAACATGCATTTGGTCGCGTTGTAACTGCGTGTGTCGGCATATTTTTAAACTCTGGCTGAAGATAGCTGGGGCACCCTGCATAAGACAATGCAATAAAGGTTTTTTTTAGATTAATGCTGTCAAGAGCACCCAAAACAATACAGAGGACAAATGCAGCATCTCGACTTATTTTTATTCACTTTTCAAACCACATTCAGACAAATGAATTTATTACGCTGACACATGCAGACCGATAAATACATAAATAATAAATCAGTAGTATTACAACTTTTCCCAACTTGTCATACTTTACAAATAACAATCATATTGCAACTTTACAAATGTTATATACTTTAAGCAAACAAAGTTTTCACAGACAGTAATCACGTATAAAGACTAAAATTATGAGACAGCATGTCATCACTCACACTATAGTCACTCACAAAATTAGAGAACTCAGCAAAGTAAAAAAAAAGATGCACACCGTTAATAAACCTGAAGTCACTGAAACGAATTTTGTAGAGGCATTTGCTTCCATGTACACCAATGATGAATGCTAGTACAAAAATATGGGCATAAAAGATCCCTCTCAGTTGATAAAAACAACTGGGACAAGCCTGTGACGAGGATAATCTACAAACAGACATTGCGTGCAAAATTTGGCCAAGGTTCATCACACCAGAATCTGCCTAAAAGCTACTGAATGGGCTTGACAAACTCCGAACATTTATCCGTGCAGCCTTTAGCAATGCAAAGCAAAGCAGTCAGGGTATCGGACAACAAACAGCGATAACATTGACGTCAACCATAGCTTGAGCCATAAAAGCTTTAGCTAAACTGCACACAGGAGCTCACTTCAACACGGCGAGAAAAATGTCACCTGGTTTGGTTCCAACTGAAAATCGCTATACACAATCATTTGCGTCCTGCTGCACATCATCAAAAGACTGGTCAGTAACCACACTTTTTAAAGCTCATTCTATATAACTAACATTGATAGCAGTCATACACATCCATAGCAAACATCTCCACAACCAAGTGGCACATGACCTTAGATGCACAAGCTCAAACACCACGCTGGTTTTGTTCAGAGGTAGCTTGATTTGGTCTCCAGAGAGCTAATAAAACTGCATGCAACATAGAATTCTTTTTAAATTTATTTTCGGACATACTTCAGAGCTCACTCAGAATACTCAGAATTCCACATTTGTCACCTACTGCATGTTTCAGATAAATAAAAAGACCAACAAACATGAAGATTGCGTTGAATCCGAAAACCTACCTCATGATGGTCATGGTGCACTTACTTGTTGCAAAGTCTTTGAAACCTCAGATTCAGGAGTTCCCATTCACAAATTGAATCAGCAACATTCAGACAAGTCACTAACTCATGAGTGAGCATCCTGGATGGGGACCAAGCAAACAGGCTTAAAGGCAGCCATCAGCAAAAACTGGGCATGTACCATTTCAGGGCCAGGTTTTGCCGTATGGCTAGATGTCCACTGTAAAGGAAGTAGGCTCAGCTACTACCATTGCATTCCTTCTTGAGTACACACAGTACCAATCAGTGCCATACGCTATACTTCAGTCCAAAATATTTAAGAAGGCCATTGGTATAGAGTGCAAGCTGTAAAGGTAGCTTCCAAGATTTGAACAGTAGTAAAATATGGCTGTTTCCAAACTAAAGCCAAGCTCGGAGCATTTGCAAGTGCTAAAGCACAGTCTCACCATAGGACAGCGTATCAAAGAATTCCAAAAGATTGTGTGCAGATGCAAAGAGATAGGTGAAAAGTCCGGCAGGGTGAGATACCCGACACTAGAAAAGTCTACCGATCACTTTTACAAAGGTTAATCTACAAGGCCAACTGGGCTGAACAGCAAGCAAAAGCTGCACAAGTGGTACTTCCTTCCAGCATACTTGCATGCTTTGGCCACATTTGTCACAAGTGCACCACTCGCAGCCATTTTCATCAATAGAGGAGTATTGTGTATGGATAACGTGAGCAAAAAAAAAAAAAACTGAGTGCCGTGTTACACCAATTTCCTTAAAAAAAAAAAACTGGGAACAGATTCAAAACCAGCACCCATGGCATCTGGTCCCATGTAAGGAAGTCCAGCACTTTGCCAAGTGGCTAGCACTAGGCTCCAAGGACCATAGTCGCCACAATATTTAGGAAATGTACTCTTACAATGGAAAACAAATATTTTACACTGAGTGAAAAAAAAAGACATTTGAAAACCTGTGACAAAATGAACCGGCAGTTCTCCATTAAAAATAATAAAACACAAAAAGAAAACAGACACTGTATCTACAGTCTTGTCAACTGTCCCTCTCATCATTCTTCTTTGCTTGGCACATACTTGTCCCCATCTAGTGAGTCACTGTTGCCCGATGGTGATGCCAAGATGTCTGTCCACTTTGTCATGGCAATAAATTCCTTGAAGTCTTCTGGAAAGAGGCAATACATACACCAATAAATGTGTCTAATGCATCCAAAGTGAAATATAAAACATTTGATTGAAAGGTGTCAAGAGACAATGTACAGTGCAGTGACAAACAAGTAAACTTCAAAGAGTGTTGACGTCAAAAAGTATAACTTGCTATAAACTATAGGCACTTAACCGAATATTTTATTATGACTGAATTATGATCATCCATCAATAAAATATATTATAAAGGAGCACCCAGTCTTTCTGTGTAGTTGTCCTGCAGCATGTATTAGTCACCACATGTATTAGTATCTAGTGTAATGGTATCCTTGTATTACCATTCAGAGTGTTCAGTGTCCACAAAAAGGATTACTCTTACTTAACACAACAAGTATTAACAAAAAATAACAGACATTCCACCATCGATGTAGGTGGCATCCTCAATATACACTGGCAACATATGAGGCGAGGTTACCAAGTCCACTACTATTTTTAAACGTTGGGTAGGGGGCCGTGGTTGTTGAAATCTCATGCGTAGCAATAGATGAACCACAATTGCAGTTTTAAGTCAAAGCTCAGTGTTCAATGTAGCGATCCACACTGCTAGCGCCAGTAGCAGATCCAAGAAGATGACGACGACAAGGTAGAGAGGAGAATGTATCAATAAACTGATGAAGTCGCATTGTCAGCATGAAAACTTTACATTGGCACAGTCGAGATGAGTAGCCTGCAAATGAAGATCAAGTTTGACTGAACTCGTCGTCAAGAAAGATCTCTCATCATAGGCTTCCAAGCAAAGGGCCAGAGATACATGGAGCTGCAGAAAGCCACTAAAGCTCCGAGCCTCCTTGAGAATATTGCCCATACCGCCGGAGCTACTGTGGATGACCTTATCACTCAAGTGCATGTCCATCAATGCGACTTGATTTGGCGTCGCATTTGGTAAAAGCTCCCCAGTACGCAAATTGCTAATATCAACAAATCTCACCTATACTACCAGTGAAGGTGCCCTTAACACCCAACTTGAAATGCGGAAACTATATAAGTAATAGCAGCTTTTAAAAAGTCTTGTGTCAGCTGCAGATGTAAGAGAAAAGAAAGGAGTTTCTGTCTGACTGGACATGTTTTACTGTAATTCAAGAGCTGATCATTGCTCAACTACTGGTTTCTGGGGCATGCAAATTTATAAAAATCCAGCCAGACATAAGTCTGACTGGATTTTTATGAATTTGCCTGCCCAAGAAACCAGTGGTTGAGTGATGAACGTGTACATAAGATAGGAGGCCTTTTTTTTCTGTGGGAAACCAAAGAAGGATGGGATTGAAATTGCAAATTACTTCATATGCAAACACTTCTTGGACCGCATGGAGGAAAAGCTCTGCAAGTGCTTTTGAGGCAAACCCTATAGAGCCTTGGGATGTCATTGTTTACAGACCGTGATGCACAAATATCAGGGCGCACGTTTCCAAAAAGTGGTCCTTACTTCGTAAAGTTGACCCATCATTGAAAGGCTACTGCCGTCGCTCTAGTCATACGTGGCACGACAAAGTATACTAACAAAGACATGTCAGCGAGATCTATGAACAATCTACTATCTGCTTTGAAATGCGTCACAGCCGCTGAATACAAGATGCCTGATGAAGCTGAAGTCGGCAGAGGTAATTAGTGTGGCAAGAACACACCATCTGTAGGCCCCCCAAAAGCTAACATTGAATCTAGATTACACACCAGCATAGGATTGAGTGTACAGTGTCAGGACAGAACTAAAAAAAGTCACATTGTCAAAGAAACAGCCTGTCTTGTAAAGGCAGAAATTTTTGGTGTTCAGGTGCTAGTGAATGGTCGCACATTGTCATTTTCATTGACACTTGTGCTGATAGGTGTGGAAGGGCATCGGGAACGCAAAAATTGCGAGAGAGAAAATGCGATTTTTGGGCCGATTTTCGACTTTTAAGTGCCGCGTCCCCCTTAACAAGAACCTAGTAAATGCTAGAGATATTCTACACGGGAAATCCATTCGTGTGTGCAGCTAAGATTCTTGTTGTCGAGAGTATTACAGATGGGTGAGAGTTTGTCTAGAGTATTAAGGCGAGACATTCAAAGTTTAAGCGTTAGTAGTGCCCAAAGTCAGTTTTGATTTCATCTTATTTGGACCAGGAAAGACTGGCACAAAGATTAAGACACTTTAGAATGAGGAAGTTACAATCAGAAGGACATGAGCTAAAGCAAATATCACCCACAAGGCGCAAGTGCCATAGGCCGGCTACTAGAGAAGATGTACAGTAACGTCCACTGTTAAGGGGAACATGCGAACACCTGGCCGTGGCCCATGTGGCGTGAATTCGTGGCAAGATTTGTAAACATGGGGCATGCGCATAAAAGCACAAAGGAAGTGCTTGTCAAGTTTCGTCTGGTACTTTCTGCCCCTGCTGCGCTTGCCGAGCGCTTTCGTTTTTCCGCGGAGCGATTCATGTCGCCGTTGGTGTGCCGGCGCCCGGTCAGGTAGTCAGTAGGCACACAAAAGGTGGAGCTTGTTTCTTGTCTGAAACGATGCGATTTAGACCCACAGTGGTTTAATTTCAATTAAGGGCGATATACAATGAAAAGTCATGCGATTATATTTAGAGGCATGTTAATGAACACTTAATAATCATAAATGTTGGGGTTTAACATTGCCGAACAGTAGTATGATTATGATCGACACATTAGAAGGCTCTGCAAATGTCAACCATGCCTAGGGTTTAAACCAAAGTACACGGGCCTCGAATATCCCCGCCTTGATCGATAATGCGGCTGCCGCGGCCAGGATTGGATTCCGTGACCTGCAGGTCAGCAGTCGAGCACCATAACCCGTATACCATCGGGGCGAGTTAAAAACACACTTGAGGATGAAATCTCTTGATCAATACGGAGCGATCCTTAATGATGTTCTGGCTTACTACATCCTGGCAAATATTAGTATACAGAGCTTCTGTGCAGAGCTTCTGTGAACCTGTACAGAGCTTCTGTGAAGGATGAATCGTGCTTAAGCCGCTCCCACTCTTCCTTTACAAAAGCCCAGAGGTCATTCACAGATTTGACGCAAGGAGTTACAGATGATTTCATTTTGCCTCACAAATTTTCAATTGCGCTCAAGTAAGGTGAGTGGGGCGGGGGGGGGGGGGGCACATGATACCGTCACGGTCTTCAGTTGCCTGTTAATTTACTATGGCAGCGACAGCACACTAACTATTCTGTAGTGTAGAGCTCGACTATGAGAAGCCTTTCATCCTCAGGGGCCCTGGCAATGCCACATATAAAAGCTGGCAGCTACGAAAGTGTTCAGTGAAGAATTTTGCCTCCAGCTGTGGAATTCTGCAAAAGCGAAAGCGAAGCCCATCACTTTTGTAACCTATAGTGTAAATTCTCACAGAAATATTAGTCGTAAGCTTTGCACAATGCTCGAACCAGCCAACTGCCTTTGATAACACACAAGGAAATCTGTGCTTGATGCAAAAAGTATAGCAGGTTTCTCCTTTCAACCACTGAAACATTATAGGGCGTTAGCGCACGCTGAGCGCTAAAGCGGGGAAGTAGCAGACGACGCAGGGCATGACCCGCCTTGCGATTCTGTGCTCATGCTCCGCGTTTCCAAATCCCACCAGCAATTGGCGCCCCACAGACCGCCGGCCGCGCGGTCACGTGTTCTTCCTAACAGTGGACCGTGCTGTACCATTGACGTTTCCCAAGCTTTTGTGTATTGGTGTATAGGCAAAAGTCACAAAGACTGTTGAGGTACCTCTTCTATTACGAGACACCATTGTAAAGAAAAAAAACCATACAAGCTTGATCATGACCGAAAAGTCTGGTTAAAGAAGGATCTTCAAGGAATGCTAGAGGCAGGAAGCATCAGGCCCGCTTCAGTATTTGCTTCGCCCATTACAATTGTTCCAAAAGCACATGAGTCATTTCGCCTGTGTAGAGATCGTAAGCTTATAAATGAACAAACAGATGTTTTTCCCATACCCAATGCCACAAATTGATTAGATCGTTGAAGAAACCTGAGGATGTCAGCGGTTTTCTCACATTGACCCATGTAAAGGATACGCAAGTGCCACCAAAAGATGCAAAAGAATTTACCGCATTCATCACATCTTTCGACATCAATGAATACAGCAGACTACCCTTAGGATGGATGAACTCTAGATCATGGTTCCAAAAGATGAATGGCGTAATTAACTTCACGTATACATTACAGAATATTGTGATGGACGACATTATCATCTACTCGGAAAGGCAGGAAGATCATGGAGAGCGCCTAGAGAAGGTCTTCGAGGCACCTAGCGCCTCTAGACTTCAGTTCAGCACAAAGAAGAGAGAGTTCTGCAGAAATGTAGTGCTTTTAGGAAGAGTCTTTGACAGCCGAACCAAGGGCACTAAAGAGGAGAGCATCCCACGCATCAAGAAGCTGACAAAACCTTATGACATCCACTCATTTTTAAGAGTGTCTCTTGGACTCGCAGGCCATTTCTGTGCATTTAAAAAGGACTACGCAAGAAAAATGAAATGTGAAGGAATTAACTTCGTCTGGTCTGAGAAATGCGAGAACAACTACCTAGAACTTGCCTGAGCCATCTCATCTGACCCTATACTAGCACTGCCCGACTTTGATCTACCACTTGATTTATATAGAAATGCATCTCGCTATGCTGCAGGCGCCATCCTGTATCAACGCAACAAAACGAGCATCCCGGCAGAAAGCTTAAGGTCATCGGCTACTATTCCGGCACATTCACAAAGAGACGAGAAAATTGCATGACAACAAAGAAGGAAGCTCTAGCTGTCATAATGGCTTTTAGGCAGTTCAGAAGTTACCTAGAAAGCAAACATTTCAATCTGTTAACTGAAAACCAGGTGTTGACCTATTTAGTTGCAACTAGCACAAATAAAGGGCCAAATAGCTTGACAGGCAAGCGAGATCCAACAATTCAGTTTCGACATAATGCATAGACCAGGCCAGAAGCACCCAGGCACTGATGCCTTGTTCAGTCTTCCCGTGCCACAAAAAATTCCGGAAGGAAACATTAACTTGCTGAAACTTTGGGAGCGAACGCAAGACAGAACTGCACAATGGGAAGATGTATGTCCCTGAAACAAAAGTGTCTCAAGTGCTAAAATGATATCGTAGCAGTCCATATTCAGGAGGGCATGACAAATTCTGGAGGACATACCACAAACTTACTCGGAGATTTACATGGCCAAACATGAAAGCAGATATTGCCCATTATGTGGAAACATGTCGCGAGTGCCAAATGATGAAGTAAAAATACAAAGCTCGTGAAAATAGAATGGTATTACCACAATATTTAACTGTAGCACTCGAAGTAGTTCACCTTAATTTTGTTGAAATTAAGAAGAGGAAAGGTGTCAAAACAATTGAAGCTTTCCTAGTCACTGTGGATGAGTGCACACGCTTTGTGGTTGTCACTGAAGTTGAAAGAGGAGACACAAATTGCATAACAGCACTGTTTCAGAGAAGTTTTCAAGCACACGAAGGTCATCAGTGCAGACAATGGGTCAGCAATGAACCTGAAGCTACGCAAATGGGCCAGCGAAAGGAACATCATGCTTCGACACTCAGTGCCTTATCATCCGGAGGCTAATTCTTTTCTTGCTGAATGCATGATTAGAGACCTCAAAATGTATAAAAAGCTAAATCCATAATTCAAGGGAGGCTAGAAAAGTTCTTTAGAGGCAGCCGTACATCACCATTAACAGATGCTACACAACCGACATCTGGTGCAGCCCGCAATTGGCTGCATTCGGCACGGTTTTTTGGTTGCCAGCAGACGAAGATCTGGGCTTAGTTGGCAGGGTTACACTGAAGGAATGCCCAAACACCCAACTCCAACAGCAAAAATACAGAAGTACGATGAAGATTAAGTTTGATCATCGCCACAGCACGAAGATGCCAGAAATCAAACCAGCTCTATGGTACTAGTCAGAAAAGGATTGGACTCAAAAGCTCCATTCACCGGTAAATACCTTGTTAAAATGAACACTCACTCATGCAAGCTCGCATGCTTCAATGTGAACTTGCTGCAACCGAGTGACGCCATCGTTGTTTACCGAGAAACGACCAGCAAATACTTCTAAAGACGTATTACACTGAGCCAAGAGGAAGAACAGAGGAGGTGTCTATTGGAAAGATGATGAGGTAGAGAACATCAATAAACTAATGAAGTCGCACTGTCCACATTAAAACTCGGTGTTGGAAAGCGTGGCATGGGGGGGCCTTATCAACATTCCCTTTGTGCTGATTCAGCTTTGTTGATCAATATCTTTGCATATCTTTGCCTCCATCCCTGCATTGCATTTAGTAGACAACCTCACTCTCATTATTTGAAGGTGTGTGATCTTTGGGCTTTCATACACCACACCATTTAGTATGAAACGGAGGAAGAGAATGTCTTGATATTTTAGATGTGCATGTATGGAGGGCAGATTATGGCAGTGCGGAAAAGACAGTGTACTGGAAGCAATGAGATACGAGAAATTTTACATTTGGTCGGGTGGTGTGAATAACATGACAATCATCCGTTGTGAGCACTTTCTGGTCTAGTAGTTGCAATGCAGGCAAAACAGATGTATAAAGCATAGCCAATTGCACCAAAGAGAATTCTTCCTTTTGTTCTTCGAGCACCTTTATCAGGCCTATAGCCTGGAATTTTTTTTAGGGGGTGGGTGGCCCCACTAGTTGGGAGAAACCTATTTTTATTATTTGTCCTCTCTGTAAGATACCCTCCTCCGTCTGAATTTCAGGAGAGGTGGAGGGGCTAGGGCACTTTTGCTGATGATTAAAATAAACAAAAAAAACGGACAAAAGTGGGAAATAGAAAAAGAAAGAGGGAAGAAAAAAAAAACTGAAGAGGAACAAAGAAGGTTACTCCCAGCTTTGCATTTCAGGCCTGGCACCACTAGCCCAAGCTGCCTTAATTTTTTTTCAACCTGTTCTTCACAACGAAATTCTGAAGCAGTGATTTCTAGGAACACAAGCTCCGAGAGTCTTCAGACATGTGCAAAATTTCTTGGTACTTTTACAGTGTGGTGCTTAGGGGCTGGCCAACATCATCTTAATTCATAAGAAAGGGGACATCAAGGACTTAAAAAATTACAGCCCGATCAGCTTACTGTCTGCTCTCTACAAACTATTTACAAAAAATAATACCTAGTAGATTTAGGGTTACATCAGAGTTCAATCAATCAAAGGAACAAGCAGGATTTCGTACAGGCTACTCCACAATAGACCACATTTACACTAGCAATCGGGTAATACAGAAATTCGCAGAATACCACCAATTCCTATGCATAGCCTTCATAGATTACGAGAAGGCGTTTGACTCAATGAAGACATCAGCAGTAATGCAGGCACTACCGAATCAGGGCATCGAAGAATCCTACATAAGCATATTGGAAAGAATCTAGAGTGGATCCATAACCACCATAGTTCTCCATGAAGAAAGTGGCAGAATCCCAATAAGGAAGGGTGTGTCAGGCAGGGAGACACGATCTTTCCAATGCTATTCATCACATGTTTACAGAATGTTTTCAGGACCCTAGATTGGAAAGAGTTAGAGATAAGAGTTAATGGAGAGTATCATAGTAACGCGACATTCGCTTAGACATTGCCTTGAGTAACTCGGGGGACTAATTATAGCTCATAATTACTGAACTGGACACAGAAAACAGAAAAGTAGGTCTGAAAATTAATATGCACAAAACTAAAGTAATGTGCAACAATCTCGGTGGAAAACGGCACTTTGCGAGAGGTGGAGATATGCTGGAAGTTGTAAAGGAACATGTATTTATCACAGGTAGTAACCGCGGAGCCGAACCATGAGAGTGAAATAACTGGAAGAATAAGGTTGGGGTGGATCCCATTCGGCAGACATTCTCAAATTATGAATGGTGATCTGCCTCTAACTTTCAAGAGGAAGGTATATAACGGCTGCATTTTGACAGTACTTACCTACGGAGCAGAAACCTGGAGACTTACAAAGAGGGTTCAGCTTGAATTGAGGATGACGCAGTGAGTGATGGAAAGGAAAACTATATGTGTAACCTTAAGAGACAAGAAGAGAGCAGAGTGGATCAGGGAACAAACGGGGGTTAAGGATATAGTTGAATTCAAGAATAAATGAACATAGGCCGGGCACATAGCACGTAGGCAGGATAACTGCTGGTCATGAAGGGTAACCGCCTGGACTCCCAGAGAATGCAAACACACGAAGAGGAGACAGAAAGTTAGGTGGACCGATGAGATTAATGCGTTCGTAGGTGTAATGTGGCAATGGAAAGCACAAAAATGGGATGACTGGTGGATCATGGGAGAGGCCTTTGCCCTGCAGTGGGCGTAGTCGAGCTGATGATGATGCTTAAGGGTTGCATGCAGAGTTCCACAACTTGAACATTTCAAGAAAGTCCTCCATTGTCATAACACATAAAATGTCGCACGAGCATTCCATCTCCTTCAGTAAAAGCCGTGAATACATGCATATTCAACAAAGCATTTCACTAGAAGTACAAGTGTGTATTCTTCCGAGACTCTTCTGCCACCACCTTGAATTTTGAACTGTCTCCCTCCAAACCTTCCCAGGTTATCTATCACAGTAGGCAGAAGGACTTTCTCAGGATTTTACTGAAGCTATATATGTCTTGCATATAACCATTTACACAAGAGCCACATTTTAAAATAAACTCACCAAAGTGAATCCACCCCAGTGCAGCAGTGTCAATCTTATAAAACAGGGACATTGCTGCCGACTTTGGTAGTGCAAGAAGAATCCAGATAAGTTGCACAAAGTCCACCATACATATTCCCTTGCTGTCATCACAAAATTCCTGTAAATGTAATGGTACAAACATCAGCAATATCATTAAGCCTTAATGATTTCATTTTGTCAAATTATACCGACTGTCAGCAATTTAGTAAACATGCTAACTTAGTAAACATGTTAGGAAAGTTGGCCAATTGAAATGTAGACAGAAAAAGCTAGAGGAAAAACATACAGTAAGTACAACTCATTCTTATTTATGTCTCAGGTTTGAAGGGACACTATACTTTTTATTGCCTTACAAATAAAATTTTGCTGATGTACCAAAACAAATGTTTCATTAGGCTAAGCTCATATAGCCTATAACTTGTTTGAAATGCATCAAAGATATCCTAACAATAAGATTACAGGCTTTAAAACCATTAAAAGCCCACTTTAACAGTGCTTTTTCCTTAGTAAGCCAGATATTTTTAAGCTTCACTGGTGAAACTGCCATTAAAAACAACAACTATCTTTGTGAAACACTGAACCATAAGTGTGTGTTGTTAATGTACTACACATGCACGTACACACGTGAATGCACATACGTAAGCATGCACAAAGTGCAATATAGCTGCACCTTCTATTTTCAAATGCTGGTTCACATAGCACTGCCCTTCAATGTGTCTAAGTACTGATTCAATAAATTAGTGGTGAACTTGCTTGTATGTTTGACTTCAATAATAATAACATATGAGGTTTTATGTCCCAATACCACATTGAAAATATATGAAACGCTGTAATGAAGAACTCCAGAATTTTTCATCATCTGGTGTTTTTCAGCGTGCATTTATATTGCACAGTACACGAACCTCTAGCATTTCAACGTGTATAAAAATTAGACCGAAATGGCTAGGATCGAATCAGCAACCTTTAGGTCAGCAGCCGAAAACCCGAACCCTTGCTCCACTGCAGCAGACATATGTTTTACTTTATTGCACTTTGTTTTTTGGGCCGATGGACACCCCCCCCCCCCCCCCCCCTGCTTACATACACGAAAACACTTGCAACAATCTGCACAGCCAGGAAAAAAATAGTACCAAGTTCTCCTACATACATGTAATACACAAAAAGAAAAAAGTACCCCTCCCCCCCCTTCCCAAGTATAGAGCAACCAGCATTCCTTTATCTCAAGGACACAATGTCAGAAATAGGACACAAGATCTGTTGCTACATATATGATCTGAATGATTGTCTTATATTTATGGACAGCAAACAGAAACATGCCTTATTAGAGTCAGTGTAGAATTGGTTGACACTTATTTCACACGAACATGCCAACTGCACTACAAATAACTACAGTGCAAGATGCCAACCTTAAAAGCTTTTTCAGTCCGATGTCGTTCAGACTTGTGAAACAACCAGAAAGCTGCCAGGAGACCCCGCAAGTCCAGTAGGTTTTTTCGATCCTGAAAATATCCAAGAATTAGCTTTTTACACCAAGAACAGAGGAACAACTCTCAAGTAAATTATTGCACACAAAATGTCTTGCACAGCAAGGTTCAGTTTTTTTTAAATAATTTTTCTTGCCCACGCTATTGGCTTACACAGAAAAAAAAAATGCAAGCGGAAGATGCAGGGTGAATGGTCTAAACTTTTCTATACCTAACCAAATGTGCAAAGCTGGTGTCTAACAGAAATGTTACATTTTTCTTTATATCATAATTTTTGCTGTTAACTTTCCACACAATTGGTGACCCTTAAATGGATACACTCAGATCAAGCAGCAAACATCCAACCTCATTCTAAAGCCTGCAACTTCTCGTAACTACAGAGTAGGTCTAAATGAAACAACCAACATAATTTACTTCAATGCAGAGTCAAAACAACTAGTTGATATTGCGATTTTTGATGAGCCCCTCCAAATAATGTCCTCCCCAACAGCACTAAGAACATGTTTCTTTGAAGGGCAATGTAAATGCAATGAGCATACTTATTGCTTTAGACATTCATTGTTCAGATGAAAAAGGAAATTTCACTTGTAAGTGAATTATTGAACCGAAAATTTTTGCAGATGGTAAATGTTGCACTTCGATAATTCCATTCAAATTGAATGAGTATCCAACTAGAACATTATCAGTCTTCAGCTCTGATTCCGCCACATGCCATCAGAATTTTCATCTACCTGAAGCTGAATAAATAGCATTAAAATAAATTTTTCCAGCTGGAAAAATTTTTGGTTTAATATCCAACTAGAAATTGAAGTTTGTTTCATTCTGGTTATTACTGTAAATAATTGAGAAGTGAGATAAGAGAGTGATCACTGCTGGAAAACTTCACCCTGTGATGGGTGATGAAGGGTAAACAGCGAAGCAGAAATCTGCCAGGCAAGTGGAATAAAATATGAAAATCTAACACCTGTACTGAACAATCGCTTTGCATTTTGAAATAGTTCAGCACGCACACGACAAATGAGGATTTAAAGGTCAACTACGGCGATTTCTTGAGGTCAATAGATCTCAATATGAAATTCACTGGGTATGTTCCTTTCACATTTCCATGGTTTATGACAAATTACAGGCTTGAAAGATATGCTGATTGTTTGGAAATGAATTTTAAAGATTGCCTTGAAATGCTCACCTGGCTTGCCATAATTATCGGCAACACTGTGTGTGACATCATGTTTGGCATGTCAACGGAAGTGATGCAGCCGATGGCATTGCTACTGTGGCCACTACAGTGTTGACTGTGCTGGCCACAAGGCGACTACAGCATTGTTTGGCACGAAAAAGCTTCCTCACACATGTGGCATTTTGCCGGTGCTTCACTGGTTTAGCTTTCACAGTGTTCGTACTCCGCGCCCACGGAACCAGTATACGAATTCCAGTTCTTACGAAATAGTACGTCATACGAAGACAGAGCGCTCAGTTTGGTTTCGGTATTGCACCTTTTTGCTTACTAAAAATTATTTTCAAACTTCCTGAGCATTCCAGCTATTGGGCTCATGACAAGAGTGTCTCAGTAACATAGAAATACCACATTTACCTTGACATGGTCGAAAAATCACTGCAGATGGCCTTTAAGGAAAGAACACAAATGGCAGCAAACTCAAGTCAATGTTGTTTTAAACCGAGTCGAGCTTGGGCAGGTTTGTCATTTTTAAGTCCTCATTTGTTATGTGCACACCGAACTCTCTACTTTTAAATCACTTAGCATTTTCAGACATACATGTTAAATGAAAGGATAAAAACAGGTACAAATAACCATGATTGCATTTGAAGCAAACCAATCTTTTGCGTAAAAAGTCACTCTGCCAGTTTAGTCCTCAGAAAGATATGAAGTGTGTCCGAACACAGCAGGGGTATTTGTGTATATACATAGCAGCAATGAATTGAATTTTAAAGTGCAATATTATGTGAATTGCTATATCAATGGGCTTGACTACACCTCATGAGGGCTAAGTGACTGTGACTACTCCTATATACTTCACTATGCCTACAAATGAAAGGGCCTTCCACATTTACCACTATGGTCATGAATAGTGGTCGCTACCGCTTCTGCTGCTAGATTTGATTGAACGATGATAACTACCTTTAGATTTTTAACTAAAAATATGAAGTTAATCACACCTTCAACAATCATAATTAAAGATTTTGGTATTTCAAATAGAACAAAATAAACTTTCCAATTACATTCCTTGGCTGCATGATCATTTTAAACACACGTGACATACATCATCTTTCCTCACAGTCTTGTGCCTTGCTTTTAGCTAGAGCTTGCACAAAATTGGCACACACTCTAACTAAAAGCAAAGCAGATGGCTAAACCTAGTGTTTGAAAGACATGTGAAAGGATGCTGCTTTTAAGTGCAAGTTTATGTACAAGCAATCAGAAATTTCAATTTATTCTGCACATTAAAAAGGGTTGTGGTCAAGAGAAAAATATTGATTTCTAGAAATCCAAAAGCCAATTTTTAACACAAAAAGTGTTTCATGCAGGGGTCCACTATGGCCCCTGTATTTCTGATGTATTTCTGTCACAGATATGATGTTGTAAAATATGTACTAACATATAAAAAATAACAGCCAGAAGCCAGAAGAAGTTCCGTAGCACGGCATCGAACCAGTGACCTTTTCCTCCTCAGTGCGCGAAGCTAGCCAATATGCCACAAAACAGGTTGCTGAACTTGTTAACACCGAGTTATTTATATATACCATGTACCGTTGGTGACCCTCAGAGCTCAGCAACTTCAGTGCTTTTTCTTTATCAGTAGTAAGGCACAAGCGGTGCGTGTTGGGTGTGCGCATTCTGAAGGTAGTCTACTCACGCCTCCACATAGCGTGGTCAAAGTACGTATAGATGTTCTCTGGCATGATCGCTCACTCGCTCACATGGTTATCTCAGGTTTCGGGCGCTTTGAACGTCTTGCGATTCTACCCCAAGTTTGCTTTGAAGTTACACTGGTTTGAGAGAGCCCGAAGATCAAGTCTCTCGTTGCTGTGGCCGCATTATGAAAGGACCGCGCTGGTCACACACAAAGAAGTAATAACTGACAGTTGTTCGCGTGCTCGTCCTGCATATACTTGTGTGTTAGTTTGGTGCGTCTATATTTCCGTTTGAGCAGGGTCATTTAAGTGTTGAGCTGTGACAGTTGTTTGTCCACACTCCTCTTGCGTATCCCAGTGAACCACTGATATCCTGTCAACATAGAAATAAGATCTATACGTCTGTCAATAACATCTAATCGACATCCCCATAACGTACCATCCTTACAGTCTAGAGAGCCTACGTATTATTAATGTCGCATGCACTTCTCTCTTGAACAAGAACTAGACGTCGCAAATGATGTCGTATACAAGTGCTCACAACATTAAATGCACTACAGAACTTTCTGTCTTCCAAAACCACTTTAGTTGACGTTTAGAATGATAAATATATACCGAAACGTAAAATCTAGAAAGTACTCGATAAATGGACATGCATCATACGAGTGTACGTAATGCATACACTAATATATACGAGGAGATAAAGCACGCAAATGACCATAAAATTAACATGCGTGGACATGATAGCGTGAAATCACGCAGCCCGAAGGTGGTTTTAAGTGTGAATCACTTTAGGGGCATAGGCCGTCGTCGCGTGGCGTAATGCAAACAAAACCACATAAAAAATAAAGACAATGCAACCGAGAAAGAGAAAGAAACGGAAAAGAAAGAAATAAGAAGAAAAATAAAAAAGGCAACAGATATAGATAAAAAACCAAAAAAGAAATAAAAACAGAAAGAACTGAAAAAAAAAAAGAAAGAGGAGAAAACAAAGCTCAAGAGAAACAAAACAGACTTCCTTGCTTCGCACTTTCTTCGGGCTTGCTGCATTTATACATAGTTTTGTGTGCTCGAGACCTGCACTCCCACTGTAGTCTGGCTCTTAGCTGGTGTGCTATATCTATAGAAAGCATCAACACCATGAGGCTGGCCTTAAATATGCCGTCTGACAGCAATCTGGACAGCCTCACCCCGCCACGGTGGCCTAGTGATTAAGGTACTCTGCTGCTGACCCGCAGGTCATGGGTTCGAATCCCGGCTGCAGCGGATGCATTTTCGATGGAGGCAAAAATGCTGTACGCCCGTGTGCTCGGATTTGAATGCACGTTAAAAAACCCCAAGTGGTTGAAATCTTCGGAGACTTCCACTACGTCTCCCATAATTATGTGGTGGTTTTGGGACGTTAAACCCCACATATCAATCTATCTGGCCAGCCTCACACCTTCGATGCTTTCTATAAGTACAGCTGAGCGGCAATGAGCAAGGCTGCCATGAGACCGCAAGTTTAATACACCCACTACATACGGTAAGTGTCCAAAATGCATAAAAAACCTTTTATTTACCATATGACAATGTCTATGTATATTGAATGTCTATTCAGTCGCCATGTGCAACGTACCTGAAACGTTACTCGGCCAAGCTTTTACTAGTTGCGGGTACACTTTAAAACAAGAGCAAGTAAAAAGGGTGTCTTTTTGTCCCACAACAATATTCGTCTTCTATATTGCGTTCCATCTTTGCGCTATCGCCCCGCGCCCGGTACATTCCGGTCACAATCGACATGCCCACTATCAGGGTTACGTTGCATTCTCGATAGGAAAGTGGCCAGCACCGAGTTTTCAAGAAAGGACGCGCACACAAGCCTTACGACAATTATTGTTGTGGGACAAAAAGACACCCTTTTTACTCGATATTTTTTTAGAGTGTACATCTAATCTTCGTAATATGAATTTTTATACATATCTAAGAGACATTTACAATGTCCATGAGAAACATACTATGGATGTCTACACAATATTTGTGGTTCACTGGGATGCTAATTTCTTGTGTTTGAACTGCGTGCTGCAACTTTCGAGCTGATAGATTTTCTTTGCTTGACATTGCAATTTGGTTCTGTAGCATTCATTGATTAATTCATTCATTCATTTTTCCTTGCTGCAAAACAATGGAAAGTAAATGCTCAATTATCTCTGAAGACACATTTCATGGTGGTCTTATACAGATTTCTAAAAACAGGGATCAGCCACATTTTGTAAGAGTTGTCAAATGTTTTCTAAAAAAACGCGAGGCCTTGTTTTCATGACATTGTAATTTTCTTGATGTTTTTAGAGCATGAATCAAGGAAGTGCCACCACTGGAAGCAAAATGCCACATGATTATTGAGCCCAGTTGCTTCTCTTATAAATAGTGCTGGTAGTTTTATATGTTTCTCTGTTCTTCCAATATACCAGTTACACAACACAACTTAACAATCCACACTCTCCACCTTGGCTGCGAGTTGCTGGCTAACACTCTCAGGCTGAGATGCACAGATATACTCATCAAAGTAGATGGGGGAATGTCCACCATGATAGCTGAACTGGTAAAGCATTGCATGATAAATTCAATGGCTGTGCGCGCAGGTCCCACCAACAGCAAATGCGATTTTTTTCATCCATTTTAGTTCCTTTTTAATAAAAATAACCAATACTTAAAAGTACAAATAATGTCCCATATACTTTCCTTGTTGCTTTTGTATGTAACTGCAAGAGCAGTAGACATAGTTGCGAATAACTTAATTTTATGCATATCACATACAGCTAAGTATTTAATACTGCATACGGAAAGGCTATTGACTTGCTGTTTTAGTAAACACAGCAGCGGTGCAAATGACTTTTTGAGTAATGTAAAAGAGGAATATCAATCTAAAAGAAGAGCTCGTGCAATAACTGAGTAAGCTTGAAACGAACAAGAAAACAAACATACAAATAATATTCTATTTTCAAGATTACCCCATGTATTAGTCTAGCTAGTAAATGTTTATTATTTTGTTCAAAAATGGAAGCTAATTATTGAGCTGTTTTCTCAGTTGCATGCAGAAGTGCATATTGCATAATACAAAAGTGCAATAAATGCTGAATATGATGCACAACTATTGAATATTGGTGTCTACATTAACTTTCCACGAAAGTGTAATTGAGTTATATTTATAAAAATAACTAACCATACCTTTGAGCCATGGTCCCGATTTATTGATATGTTGGGTTTAAAATCCCGAAACAATCATACGATTATGAGAGATATCCTAGTGGAGGGCTTCTGAAATTTCGATCACCTGGGGTTTTTTTACATGCCCCCAAATCTGAGCACACGAACCTACAGAATTTTCGCCTTCATTTAAAATGCAGGTGCCACAGCCGGGATTCAATCTTGCAACCTGCGGGTCAGCAGCTGAGCACCTTAGCCACTAGACCACCACAGCGGAGCTCTGAACTAAACTATAGTCTGTGGTTTTATCGAAAAATGGGTTGTGGACTAATGACTAAAAAAATCGAATTGTTCATTTTAAATTTTAAGATAGAATGTCGTCCTATAAAGTCATTGTTCTTTGCAAGTATGACAGGGCCCATAACTCCAGAACAATAACTATCGAGAAGAAATCTACGCAAACAAGTAACAAGTTTAGAATTTTCTAGTGCTGCTTAACTGCAAACACTGCTCTTTCAATAAAAAAAAACTTTTGCATACGAAGAAAAGACTAATATTACACTCTGCCATGGCAGATGTAATGAAAACAGTAAGTGACTTACAATGTCAAAAGCTTCGAACACGTTCCTGGAAATATGGTCTGCAGGAACTCCTAGGAGGGCAACAAACTCCGTAAAGCTCACTAGATGTGTGTCGCTGTTCTTTATGGCAGCTTTTACTTTGAGAATCACGTCCCCAATATCTTGGAACTGGATGCTATAAAAATATGATCAAAGAAACTTTAGTAGTCGGAACAGTATAATAGAACTGTTGAATTTCATTGTACACCCGTTTTACTAATTAACATACTGTTACACATGAAAAATAACATAAGCAAGTATTATAACAGCCAAAGCAATGCATCAACATAAAAATCCAGTTCAACTACAGTAAAAACACAGCTCGAATTCATGAAATGTGCAATATGCAACAAACATCTTGAATTAATCTTGTATGTAACATCAGCACCATATGCATTTTTCCCAATAATATAGCAAAGTGGCTTTGTTCCTAAGTTTTGATGTAGTGAATCGTATGAAGATTCCATGCACGCATTCAGAGCCTCTGTGATAGTACAAAAAAAAATAGCCAACACAACTCATATCATTGATGCAGCACTACAGACAAAGACAGAACACAGAGTGAATAGGATAAGCACTGTCTCACAAATGAAAGACTTACACTCAAACCTCATTATGATGAAATTGCATCTTGTATAAACAAGTTTGTTATAACCAAAAATTCATTTAAACGTATATTCTGAACACTGTTCCAAGATTTAATTACTTTGTTATAACAAATATTTTGTTATACCCAGGTTTGCTATACTATTGATTGTTTAGTGCATTTCGACAAGCAAAACCCAGAAAACATTGCCGGGCATAGCAGACATGTGCATAAGACAGTAAGTCTTAAATAGGAATTGATCTTCTTGCTGCGAGACAGCGCTCATCCTGTGCGCTCTGTGTTCCCGACGTCTTTGTCTGCACTGCTGTGTTAATCATGCAAGCATTCCAACTCGCCGAAATTTCCGTTCTACTGAACACAATTTGTGCATACCTATTGCACACAGATGTTGATAGCATGTCAATATGCATTGTCATGGTGCCATTCTGCAATGTTGTTGTGAACAAATACTATCACATTCGAACTAATCATGTCTTTACAATACACTACAAATCTGCAAGCAAGATGGCAGCCTAGAATTGAAAGCCTGTAATGATACACGTGTGCTCGTGATGCCATATAACAGCGCACACTGGCTGTAGACATAGTTCACTTTGCTCCTGGCCAAATCACTCAAGATTCTACTGGTACATCCAGCAGCAATAACGTATGATGAAAAATATTTTAGGACCATCTTGCACAGAAATTGATCAAATGCACACATTTTCATGCTGTCGAAATGCTGAACACCCCTACTCGTTCTTTATTAAGTAATACTGTTGTTCTGTGCCACTAATTTTGGTTATGAACACTAGAGGGAGCGGAAATCTGAAATGTCCACAGTGTAAAGCACAATTTAGGCAAATGGTCATTTTGCACTTTGTTTCTACACCAAGGCTTGATTGATTGATATATGGGGTTTAACGTCCCAAAACCACCATACGATTGTGAGAGACTCCTTAGTGGAGGGCTCTAGAATTTTTGACGACCTGGGGTTCTTTAATGTGCACCCAAATCTGAGCTCACGGGTCTACAGCATTTTCGCAACCATCGAAAATGCAGCTGCTGCAGCCGGGATTTGATCCCACGACCTGCAGGTCAACACCAAGCATTACTTAATATAGTATTAGCATGCATGAATAGAGAATTTAAAATCATCAAAACTATTTCAGGGTCTTTTTAACACACACACTGAGCTGGTGGCAACAGTCCTGGGGATCATTGGCAGACTGATTAAGCTCCTCAGGTGAAATATGTGTATGTAGTGACCAATACGGGCTCCGCTATAGAAACGACGAAGAAGACAATTGTTGTGGCGAAGGCTCGTGCTGCTGAAACTGCTGGTTGCTGTCTCTGCTGTTAAACGCCATGCCGGGGTGAGGCAGCCGTGTAATGGGCCTAACAGTATTCTTACATTTGGTGAAGGTGCTGGTTGTCTCAAACTGGAACTCAGTTCCCGGACTCTACCTCAACCCCCGTCTTGCCAATGCCCGACGACATGAGCCAGCCACCTGCAGTCATAATCCCATCAGTCGCCTGTTCTGGAATGCCATGACAGCAAAGTCCACTGATTTTCAATGCGACCGACGACCAAGACGCCGAAGACTGGCTGTCCCAGTATGAAGCAGAAAGCGCCCATAATAAGTGGGATGACACAGACAAGCTCGTTTACCTTCATTTCTATCTCGCAGGTGTGGCAGAACTGTGGTTAACCACAAAGCGGAAATAACCTTTAGGTCCACCTTAAAGACACACTTTGCAGAAGTCTTTGGCCGACCTGCTGTTCCCAAGCTCTGTGCCGAACATCATTGCGCTGCCGCGCACAGCGATCTGGCGAGACCTTTACCTCGTATATTTAGGATGTTCTGGACCTCTGCCGTCGTATAAATTCTGACATGTCTGACACTGACAAAATACGGCACATCACGAAAGGTATCGAAGACAACGCCTCTCACAGGCTCGTTGCAAAAAACCCGCAAAGCGTCACCCAGCTTATTCAGCACTGTTGGAGTTTCGACGAGCTGCAGAGAGAGCGCATTTCTACTCGACGTCCGAACCTCGATACAACATCTACATCTGCATTAACCATTGGCGCTGTTTCTTCCGAACAAACCACGTTCATGCAGCAAATCCAGCAGTTCGTCCGAGAAGAAGTATCGCGCAATGGTCTCTTGTGCCGTACGTTCCAACCAGTGCGCACACGCCGACACTAACCCTCTGTAAGGCAATCGAAGAGCAAGTTTCCGATTCCCCTCTCTCCTACATACCATTCTTCGCCTATCTCCGCCCCTCTTACTTATGCTGGGGCCGCCAGACGATCACCGCCGTCGCTACCAACCGTCACGGATCTTGCTCGACAGCCCCGTCTCCTCTACCCAGCAAGTCCACCTATCCGTCCCCACCCACCTCCTATTCGCCACCCCGCACCACCATCAACTAACCCTTGGCGCACTATGGACAACAGGCCAATTTGCTATTTCTGCCATCTTCCCGGTCATGTAGCGTGCTACTGCCATCGTCGGGATTTCAACCCAACTGCTGGTGAGGCGACTTACGACTCCTATTATCCAGAGCCACCACATTTGTCTTCATTCCTCCCCATGTCTGATCAGTCGCCATCACGTCGTCGCGGCTGCGACAGGGCTAGGTCGCCCTCCCCCACGGCGCCGTTCTATTTCTCCGATGCTTTCTCGATCACCACCCACCCAAACGAAAAACTGACCATCGCAGTTCCCAAGGCAAGAGCTACGCACATATCGAAACCTTAAAGGCCTCTTGTTACCTGCTAATGAAATAACTGCACAAATTGATGGTGTACCTGCAAAAGCGCTTGTTGATACGATACTGGTGCTGCCGTATCTGTGCTAAGTGGTGAACTGTGCCACAAGTTGAAGCTTATGCTGCCGCTTTCCGACGTCTCTCTCCACACACACGGCCACTGCACATCACATCCAACCTTCAACGGCGTGCAGAGCTCAACTGGTCATCCAAAATATTTTGAATGTAGTCGAATTCGTTGCATTTTCTTCATGTTCACACGATATCATCTTAGGCTGGAACTTCCTCTACTCTCATCATGCCGTCGTTCACTGTGCGCGTGCCGAACTAGAGTTGTCGACAATATGTGAACGGCCCCTGTGTGAAGCGCAGACGTCCGAAAAACCTTCTTTCAAGCTGCTATCTTCCCGAGTCACCGAGGCTGCGGACACTCGCATCTCTCCTCTATTCTGCGTTTTCGTGCCCCTCTTCTGCGAGGACGCATTCTCTGTCACCGCCCTCTTTATCCCCTCCGACGCCTTCGACTCTCGCAAGAGCTTCCTTCTCCTGTTCACAGTTGTCACTGTAGAAAACACACACGGCTCCATTTATATAACGAACTCGCTTCCTTCCCCAGCCATATTATTCCCAGGCGAAGTCCTCGGTCACCTTGAGGAAGTTGATTCTGTTTCATCCAGTCACCTACCTGACGACTTTCCATCATCTCACTTAAACACCATTACCTCTGGTACCACTCCCACTTCATCTCTGGAGGCGTTTTTCTCATCCATTGGCCCTAAATCCTGGCTCTACTCTGTCGCTTCAAAATGTCATTTGTGACCATAGCCAACCTTCTTTGGGTCGCATGTCCGCCATCGTTCACAAAATCGACACCGGTAGCCATGCACCTTTGCGCCAGCGCCCATATAGAGTTTCTCACGCTGAACGCCGTGCCATTGATGATCAGGTAAACGATATGCTTCGCCGTGGCGTAATACAACATTCAAACCGCCCTTGGGCCTCTCCGGTTGTACTGGTGAAAAAAAGGATGACAGCGTCAGATTTTGCGTTGTTTACAGGAGTCTAAATAGGATCACGAGAAAAGATGTTTATCCGCTGCCCAGAATCGATGATGGCCAAGATTGCCTGCAAGGAGCAGAGTTCTTTTCTTCTTTAGACCTTCGATCTGGCTACTGGCAGGTTCCTATGAATGAAGCCGACTGCTCCAAAACTGCGTTGCAACTCCTGACGGATTGTACGAGTTTAACGTGATGCCATTTGGCCTCTGTAATGTGCCTGCCACCTTCGAGCGTCTCATAGAGAACATCTTTAGAGGCTCTAAATGGAACACGTGCCTGTTCTATTTGGATGACGTCGTTTTCTCGAAGGACTTCGACTCCCACCTCAGCCGCCTCGCAAGCGTCCTGACTTGTCTTTCGGACGCTGGACTGCAGCTGAATTTGAAAAAATGCCACTTCACTGCCCGCAAGCTTACCATCTTAGGGCATGTTGTTAGCAAGCGTGGTGTCCGTCCTGATCCAGCCAAGCTTCATGCTGTCGACGACCTTTCCAGACCAGCTACACTAAAAGAACTCCGCAGCTTCATCAGCCTCTGCTCATATTTTCGCCGTTTTGTGCGCAATTTCGCCATCATAATCGCACCCCTGACGCAGGTACTTGCTGACAACCAAAACATCTTGGCCTGGTCCCCAGCATGCAACGAAGCATTCGCCTCTTTACGCCATCTTCTGAAGTCACCACCTATCCTACGCCACTTTGATCCAGACACTCCAAACGAATTTCATACGGATGCAAGTGGAGTAGGCCTTGGCGCTATTCTTGCTCAGCGTAAATCTGGCTTCGATGAGTATGTTGTATCCTACGCTAGTCCCACCCTCACTAAAGCGGAAAAGAACTATTCAGTCACCGAAAAAGAATGCCTTGCCATTGTTTGAACAATCGCAAAATTCCGACCTTGCGTATATGGCCGCCCATTTGACGTCGTGACTGATCACAACGCATTGTGTTTGTTGTCGTCATTAAAAGACCCATCTGGTCGCCTAGCTCGCCGGGCACTACATCTCCAAGATTACGACATTCGTGTAATTTATCGGTCAGTCCGCAAGCATTTGGACGCCGACGCTCTTTCTCGCTCGCCACTTCCCCATGATTATGTTACAGCGTCTGTTTGCAGCTGCGAGAGTTCTTAACTTGAACATCCCGACATGTCCGCTGAGCAACGCCAGGATCCATGGATAGCGTCACTTTTAGAGTACCTGTCTCGGACGTCTCCACGTACCGACAACTATTTACTTCGACGAACTGCTCGCCAATTTACCATCCATGACGGTCTTCTGTATCGGCGAAACTACCTATCTGATGGTCGCAAATGGTTGCTGGTGATCCCTCGCCACCTACGTTCCATCATCTGTGCCTCCTTCCAAGCGGATCCGCAATGCGCCCACGCAGGTGTAATGAAGTTGTATGCTCGCCTACGATTTCGATATTACTGGCATGGAATGTACCGCGCTTCCCGAGGCCACTGCGCGTGAAGTCGGCTTGTTCATTCTGCACAACCTTGTCCTTCAGCATGGTGCACCCCGCGAGCTTCTCAGTGAGCGTGGGCGTTCCTTTTTGTTGGAAGCTGTAGAAGCCCTTCTATGTGAATGCAACACCGTGCATTGAACAACTACCGCATATCACCCCCAATCTAACAGGATGACTGAGCGATTTAATCGCACGCTGGGTGACATGCTCTCCTTGCACGTTTCCCATGACGATACAAACTGGGACCGTATACTGCCATTCGTTACTTACGCTTACAACAGTGCAATTCAATCTACAACTAGATTCTCCCTGTTCTTCCTTCTTTATGGTCGAAAACCTTCATCGTTCTTGGACACTATCCTTCTGTACCGCCCAGACCCTTCAGAATCAACGACTTTGCCGCCACCGCCACATATGCCAAAGAATGTCGGCAGCTCGCACGTTTGCTTACTACACATGATCAGGCTCGCCAGAAGCACTCCCACGACCGACGCTCATCCCCTTTCTCGTACGTGCCTGGAACAATCGTGTGGCTGCACGTGCCATCGTCTACCCCAGTCCTTTGCTCAAAGTTCATACCCAAGTGTGACAGTCCATACCGGATCCTGCGCCAGACAACACCAGTCAACTACATGGTTGAACCTATTCAGCCACCTACAGATCAACGGCGCCGCGGGCACGAAACTGTGCACGTCAACTGTCTAAAACTTTACTACGACCCACCGGTCCTGTCTGTGCCATAGGTCGCCAGGATGGCTCCTTTTGCACCGTGGAGTCAATGTAGTGACAAATACGGGCTCTGCTATAGAAACGACAAAGAAGACGGCTAGGTGGCAAGTAGGGCTAGTTGGATTACGTTCACAATTGAATTTTTTTGTTGTTGTTGAAGCGCACTAAAGACGGACGGTCAGAAGAGGCTGACAAGGACAGCGAAAAAAAAAAAAATCAATTAAGAAGACGGCTGTTGTGTCGGAGGCTCGTGCTGCTGCAGCTGCTGCTGAAACCGCTTGTTGCCGTCTCGCTGCTGTTAGGCCCAATAAATGGTTACCTCACCCCGACACAGCGTTTAACAGTATTCTGACACATGTAGTTTATTACAAGGCTTTGAAGCAGGAAATAGCTTAGCTGAAAAAGTTCTCAGCTGTGCACTGTACACAGCATTATTCCTACACATGTAGCACCAGCGATCAATCTGACTGGACATGTCTGATGTACATCTACAAAAAAACACAGGAAAGGCAATATTATAACCAGCTAGCCTGACAACAAGACAGTACAGAAGAAACAAAAACAAAAAAAGCTAGAAAGAAAACACTTCAAGCACTGTGTACATATAAGATCTCTGGCTCAAAGAACATAGGCAGAGTCCAATATATACACTGTGGTAAAATTACCACGAATATGTCATTTGATACAAAATTGCCACAATCATAAATAGCTTATTGAACTTGAGTCCTGAAAAAGCAGTTTAACCAATCAATTACTTCAAATCACTGTCTTTCATAGGGTATTCAGTAATGACATTCTTCCCTGACGCAGAGACATTATCACAGATGTCACACTGCAGGGATGTTCTTTTGATGAGACAAGAAGTTGGGCAAGTACACAACATCAAGTGTGTAGCGTTCAATTGGTCTTTTGATTTTGTGTGAACCACAGAAATGGGTCTAATTTATACAACAGTGCCGACCCGACACGGTTCATATTTTCTTTTAAAAAATGAGTACTAGAATGAAGAAAATCGATTTAGTGCCAGATTTGGGGACTTGTGTCGACATCGAGAGCATCTGCCAGAGTTTCAACGTGTCCCTTGATGTGTGTTGTGCCACAGTGTAACAGACTGGATTCCCAGAGAAAGCAAATGCAGGAGGAGGAAGCAGAAAGTTAGGCGAGCTGATGAGATTAAAAAAGCTTGCAGGTATAATAGACGCATTAAACAGAACATGAAGGGACTAGTAAAATGTGTTCTGTTAAACAGATTTCCATTTACTGAGAGTCTACGGTATAATGAGGCAGCAGAAAGCACAAGACCGGGCTGATTGACAGATCATGGGAGAGGCCTTTGCCCTGCAGTGAATGCAGTCGGTATGATGTTTATTTTGAGGTTCCTCTTCTCCGACACCATGAACTGTACCAGCTGCATTGTGGGCCACAATTTTAACGATCCATAACTTGCAAAACATAGACACTGTGCGAGGCATTTGGCAAGCAAAGTCACTTCAGCTAGAGCATTCTAGAACAATAGCTTGGCTCACCGGTGCATTGAATGTCAAGCTTTCAAACAAGTAGCAAGGATATGTGCATCTGTGGTTGTAAATTTGCCCCACGAGATACCAGCACACCACCCTTAGTTATGCTTATCCGAGATCATTCTCGGATACTTTTTTGTTGTCCTCATACTTCTTGGCTATCGCAGATTATTATGCTGAAAAATAAAATTTGAATGGATGGTACTGTTGAGGCACTCAGCAGAGCAGAACTTAACCGTGAGCATTTCTTTTTTGTGGCCTTCGCAATCCGCATCGCTTTGGCAGAGCTACAGTGTGCTGCCACAATTGGTTGTGGAGATCACCCAAGAGGGGTACACTGTTCAACGAATCAAGTGCACTGTCATAGCCAGAAATTGCTCTGCGTTAAGAGTGGTTAACATGTGGTTGCCCGTATCCGTTTTGAAGCAAAGAGTATCACTTATTTTATTATGCAAATGGTTAAATAATATTGTAGCCTGAAAGCTGATTAAAAAGAATCATCACATGGTGTAAACTAACTGACCCTGGTGGTCCTTGTATATAAGGTGAATTTTTGAAGTGTAATTCAGTGTTGCCACTTTTGTTATCAAATCTGTTCGCTAGCTTTGTGTAATATGGGTGTGCATTAGCACTATCATTTTATTCCCCATGTAGGCATGAGATTTTTGCCTACAGCATTCCTTGTCCCCTTTCTCATTGTTTTCTCTTTTTTATAAGAATTTTGGCCAAGTATCAAGGTACGGTGCATAAAAAGGCCAGCTGAAATGTAAATAAACTCTGTTGTAAGTGGGTGCTCGTCTGAATTTTAACAGTCTCCTGTCTTCATTTAGGTTGCACTGCAATTGTTCGAATTATAAGCTGAATCATTGATTGTGTTTGATCATGCATGTTACTTGCATTACTTTCCGAGTTTTAGCAGCTAAAACACACTATTTAGAGTCCATCACTATGTGCCCTCCTGTCATCATTATTTCTAACAATTAAGATCTAAAGGGAAAGTCAAAGCAGATGGCCTAGCACACATGGCTGATTGGTTTTTCCACAGGCTGTCTACATCTGACGAAACGTTTCCAGCACTCACTGTTAGAGTACCGCATGGAAACAGCAAACACAAAATAAGCACGTTGGCTTGGTCGTACTTACAGGCACTTCCATTGCTGTGTATTGAAATGCCAATGTTAAGCCATTCTGTATATGGCAGAGATAAGCTTTAGTACTATTGGTACAATACATGCCCAGAGAGTCACTATAACTATGGTCTTGAGCATGAGTGCATCAAATTCCAAGATCACTGTATGTTCCGTAAAGTCACACTAAAAATTTAGTGAATTAACAACTGATCAACATACTTTTCGACGTTTTCTGGCACACAAGGATGTCAAAAAAAAATACTGGTTGCAGAAAGATATTTATTAAAAAATAAAGTCTTTACTGAGACATGAAATACACTGGCAAAAAGTCAATAAGAAATGAAGCAGGTTGCAATGTATACAAATATACTCACAGATTCCTACTGATGAGATGATGCACACGATTGCACACAACGGTCTTCACAAGGCAGGTGTTTTCTACATCAATATGCTTAAGATCATCATATGAGTATGAGGAAAGTGGGATCCGCAAGGCCCTGTAAACAATAAATGCCAATATTCAATGGCAGCAACAGTGTAGCAAGGTGAATATAGATAGTATCTGACAAACAGATTGCCACTGCACATTTTTCACATCAATAAACACTGTATAAAACAGTGCTGAAAGGGTTGATTAAAATATTACTTCACTCTCTCCTAAGCTTTGAGGTACTTTTTTTTCCTCCTGCGGGGACGAGTGAAATTTTAATGTATAAACTACTGCTGAAAGTAACACGCAAAGCAACACAATCCCATACTTTTACGAAGAACAAAAAATATGTACTATCAACAGGAAAAGTTTGCGGGACGTTGGATCCACAACAAGAGCGAAATCTGCTATATAAGTGCTTAATGCTTGTAATCAAGCTGGTAACTGTATAAGTGGTAATGTCAAGTGCAGTATGAAAAGACATTCCCAGACAAAGTGGGAAATGAGCTTTATCACACATTTTGCATCCCGCAAAGTTTTGCTGTTGATAGTACTAATCGGACTGGCGAAACTATAGTGCAGTTTTTTCATTAGGAGACAAAAACCACTAAGAATATCCAAGAAACCAAGTTAGTTTGCAAATGAAAAAAAAGCAAGGTTAAGGGCTTCGCATATGCAAAAGTCTTTTACAAAGACAAAACATAAAGCTTCCTAATCGCACACAAAACTGAAAGTGACATGTTCTGTGATAGCCTTAATTGCAGTGACTATGTTTAGTAGTGTTTGTGTAAATCTTTCTTCAATCCATACAAATTCTCTATAATGAGCCTTCTTGAATATGTATAGTATATCTACCCTACACTGCTGATCCCTAGACAATCATTGCTTTTATATGCTTAATAATGTTTTACAAAGAGAAAGTAAAATGCCTTACTTTGCCATCAAGTAGCGAACATTTTCAGCATAAAGCCTGCGGTCTTTCTTTTCCTGTTCACTTGGGACATAGACAGGAAGATACTGAAGGAAAAAATCAGCAATGCACACAAATTAATGATAACAAATCATGCAATTTTGTAAACATAAGTGCACCTTAGACTACAGATTAACATTACCATGTAAAATAAACTAAAGGATGAATAAATGTTTACCTCAATTTCCATGTGCGTTCGTACCTGGCACAAGGTCAACCACAGGGTTTCATAGCTGAAATGAAACACGTAAAAGGTAACATTTTTTCATTAGTTTTCTGACCTTCATGACTGTACATATTATCTGCCCAAGTATGATGATGTCGGTTATTTTCATTGCATATCCTGCATCGCCAACTGCATCAAATTTATGGAAACAGCTGAGCACGTAAAAGGCCGCTCTATTGATGGTATCGTGGGCAATAAACAATCTAAGTCGCTTTTGAAGCAACGTGGTGTTCCATCTGTATTATGTCAGACTTGCAAGCCTGAAGTGCGGATAGACTGTGTTCTGTATGCTGGGCACAGGTCAGCAGAAATTGTGAAGCTCACTCAGGCTCACTCATGAAATATATCTTGGGCTCAGAACTTGCTCAGACTGACTCACCGGAATTTCCCCGAGCCGGACTCATTTGGACTCACACTCGTGAAAATATTACTCACCCGGACTCGCTCAGACTGTCAGCTTGATTCGAGTATGAGCGAGCCCGAATGAGTCGACTCACGAGTCCGTAAGTCTAGAATTAGCTTTTTCAATCGCAGTGTGAATGCTCTTTATCACCAATACCTCACCCAATGTGTGCTCTTCTTGGTGCCTTTCGATATAGTATCTTCTAATAAGAGTTACAAGTGGTTGTAAACCAGCAAGGACATTTTTATAGGAAGAGAACGTAACATAATTATCAAGAACCTCCCCTTAAGAGTGATGGAGGGGGAGTATAATGCACCCCTTTATTTCCCTATGTAATTGACACCTCTAATTCATAAATATTAAAATGGTGTATGAAGGAGGCTGTTTTAGAATACTCATGAATAAACCTGTGTATAAACATGAGTACAAGTAAGGCTTATAGCAATCATGAAGACGAGTAGATAGGAGCCAAAATTCTGCAAACATAAGTGGAACTCGCTCAGACTCATTCAAGAAATACATCTGGCGTCTTGGGCTCGCTTGGTCTCGCACTCACCCAAATTTCCCTAGTCGGACTCGCTTGAACTCGCACTCACTTGCACGAGTATCTCGTAATCATATGGTAGTTTTGGGACGTTAAACCCCACATATCAATAAAGCACACTCGCTTGTATTTTCTTCAACCGGACTCACTTGGACTCAAAGTCGTTAAAATATAACTCGCCTGAACTCGCTCGGACTCGCGGGTTTATCCGAGTCTGAGCGAATACAAGAGAGTCAACTCATAAGTGAGTTCGCTGACCTATGATGCTGGGTGCAGCGAATTCCCCATGCATTAAAACAAAATGAGTGCCTGAGGGAACGACATCTCACATAAAAGAAGGTTGAAAGGCATAAAAGAAGCCAGAAAACTACAAGCGCGCATTTTATCTTCAGAGTAAAAAACAATTTACATCCACATTACCATCCTGGATTCAATATAGTAAATAGAGTCTTAGCAGCAAAAAAAAGCAAATTTTACAGGTGAGGAACATGAAAAAAATTGGGCAGATATTGCCCGATGCTTTGATATGCAGAAAAAATTTTGTATGTGACGAAACATGCGCACTAACACCCTTTGCTTCAAAACAACTCAATGAAAACACAATATCCGTCGGACATCTAAAACAACACCGAACATCCACGTACATCAACAGATCTGCGAGGGATAGCGAATGAACACCCATTATGATGCGAGTTAAATATGTCCCACAAGGGATATCCTAAACATAACCCGTCTCGGACCTCCGGAAAAAATTTTATACCGTACACACTGTGTCCTCAAACTGCTTTGGTAATTCTGACTGCGATTTAATGCCCATCGCACACAAAATGAAACTAGCTACATTTTGCTTCGCTCATAGATAATCATCGACTGAAGTAAAAAAAATAAAATTATAAATATCTTAAAATTGAATAAACAATAATGGCAAAGTATATTTTAAGCATGCAGATTACGTATTAGATTGCAATTTCGTGTCTTCAGAATGGGAAAGCTGTGCACGTTAGTCAATGACGAATTCCGATCCACTTTGTTCAAACACCATGCCATTTCATAAGTCTCAAAACATGAAATAATGCAAAAAATAGGTTACTCGATTTCAGTATTTACTTTTATTGCCTTTAATAACAAAAATTTCATATGAACATCACATTTACTAAATTTTAGCAGAATAATTTGCTGTAGTATTGTTTTACCTTTTTTATTCTAAGTAGCTGTGCGCACACTAGTGCGCGCGTGCGATTCCTACCTTCACTTTATGGCCCGAGCTCCGTAGTTCAGCTTCTGTACAGCAATACTGTGGATGTCAAGAACACTAAAAGGCCTCAGAGCAGATACAGAGGTAAGTTCGTCTTCGAACTTGCAGTACAGTGTTTACGATGCACCAAAATAAGATACCTGCAGGTGTTTCATGGGCTCGTTAGATTCACTGCCATGTTAGAGGTGTCGCAGGTAGCCTCGCGATATCGTCGCTCTTCACAGGCTCTTCAGCTGTTGTCAAGTAGTAGGTGTTCTCTGCTGTAGTAGGGAATTTATCTGGATGATTAATCAGAGTGCGGCCACTATTGCGGCATAAAAATGCTTCGTGTGCTTGATTGTGGTGGTGGTGATTAGACCATGTTTCGACTCAAGACAGCAGTCTCCAACCACACTTACGTGATGAATGTTGTGAATGATGAAAGTGGCAGCTTTTACACTGCAGTTATGCAAAGTAGGCATTAGCTTATGTGTTCATCGAGGCAATGAAAACGTAATCTGTAATAGAGTTCTTTGTTGTATTCTTGGTACTTTCTGTAATTCAGCATCCCTTTATTTCAGATCATTTTGCCGATACCGTGACAGTCAAATTAACAAGCTTTTACTTTAATGCTTTTTGTGACTAGCACTGAGAAAGGTGTGCAGAAGAGTTTGGAAAAAAATAAGAAAACTTATCACTTTTTGTGGGTTTAGGGAAGTTGGGTGAGGAGAACATTTCTGTCAAATAGTGGATAAAGTTGCACAAGACTACCGAGACTTTCAGGAAACAATCCTAGACAGACAAACAGGCATGCAAATCTAAATCAATTTGCTCCAAAATGCAAAGCGTGGGTATATGCTAGTACATAAATTGATCCAGTGAAAAAATTACACAAATGCAAGTGTTGTCTTTTGTTGCTTTTACAGAAAACAGGTTGTAAAAAAAATTCTGTGAGATTAGCTTGCCAGACACGGTCAAGAGAATGAAAAGAGATGTGCTTTTAGATAAGGTGGCTACAAATTACGTTTGGCTAGATGCCGCTTCAGAAGACAGGAGGCTGCCAAATCCTGCTTGATACGATCCTTTCTGCATTACTTTATTTCTTTGAGCAAATTTCTCTATCACCCATTATATTATTACTGACATATTTAAACAGCATATTTAGCTACTCAACACCTGAATGTTGAGATCCGATTATAGTGGCTCATGCGAGCTGCAATTAAGCATACAAACAAGAGTGCTTTTCAACTCGGTAGTTTTGACATTTCAGTGGCAGAGAAAGCTTGTAATTTTAATAGGTCAGAAAAGTTGGTTAAGACAAATGTCTGTTGTTCCTGTGTTGTTCTTGCACTGTTTTTATGATCGATAGAAAGCACAGTAGAAAGTTTCAAGCAAAATATGATGCACGAGACACATTATTCGCAGATCATGTATTGGCTCTCGATATACATATATATACACATATATACATATATACACATGCAGACATGTGTGTATTTTGTTCACTAACAAAACAAAAAAAAGCCATCTGTTCCCCACTATTTTGTTTGTGCATGTACATGCATACATAATATATAGATATATACATACATACATACATACTATGAGGTAGACGTTGCACAGAATGAAAAATATTTGTAAGACGATTTATCAGAGGTCAGGCCTTCATCAGGGAGACTACTTAGAAAATAAGTTCTCTACCTCGTAGTATTTCTTCCACTGGCTCATATTATATATATATATCTATATATCTATATATCTATATATATATATATATATATATATATATATATATATATATATATATGCCAGGATTCTAGGCATGCCAGGATTCTAGTGTTGTGGTTTTTATTCTGCTCTGTGCACAACAGAAATGTGTTGTAACCCTTTGATATTGCCTATGCCATTGTTAAATATTCTTGCATATTTCAATTGGTTTCCTCTTACAGCTGCAGAAAACCAGACCTGTTATTTCACGGATTTATATTATTGGCAATGCTTTTCTTGGTGACCACCTTTCAGTGAGCAGAACATGCTTTATGTGGCCAACTACGTGTACCATCACTAACAAGAAAGGGTCATCTTGGTATTTTTTTGTTAATGGCACAAATATTCTGCTTTTGCACCAATCTTAGTAGGCTTGTAAAATTTAGTGCAAAAGTTGCTGCTGCCAGCTCCCACTGTCCAGAGCCACATTACTTACTGCTCTTCACCTTTTGTCAAAGGACAGTAGGCCCGTGTGCTCAGATTTGGGTGCACGTTAAAGAACCCCAGGTGGTCGAAATTTTCGGAGCCCTCCACTACGGCATCTCTCATAATCGTATGGTAATTTTTGGGACGTTAAACTTTACATGTCAATCAGTTTTGTCAAAGAACATAATTTTGCACATTATATTCAGGAGTTTCACTTTCAAAAACTATAATGAATTATGCACCATAATAAAGGTCTTTAAATTTTTCCCCCTGAGGTAGTATGATATCCTTTACAACAAAAGCATGTGGGCCCAATGGTACTATGCCTGTTCACTGCGATGGTGTAGCAGTTACAGCACCTGGCTGCTAACCTGAAGATCGTGGGTGTGATCCTCGCAGTGGCCGTCCTATTCAGATGGAGGTAAACTGCTAAAGGCCCATGTGCGATCTCTAAGCATGTTAAACACCACCAAATGATAAAAATTGCCAGAGCCCTCCACTATGGCAACCTCATAATCATATTATGGCATATTATTAATATAATTGTAGTTACATCTCCATCAGAATGTTGCTCCATCAGCTCTGACTTCATCCAGTCATCTCGTGATCAGTGCCAGATCACCTTAGCTGTCTGAGCCAGTGTGCCATGTGTGCCACGTTGTTGAATTCACTTTATGAATGTGTAGAGTGACAGCATGCTTAAATTTTGTTTTTCTCAGTTACTTTCAATAATTTTTGCTTTTTCCGACAGTCTTCCTGTGAATAGCATGCATGTAGCAGGAAAAAAGCATTTTATAGGGGCATTTGCTTTCTTTGCATATGCTTAAAGGAAACGTTTTAATTTAACAGATCATCTCCAAGGCAACATGAAAACGTTAGAGCGCCAGTTGAAGGCAAGGAATGGGCACTACCCTACCGATTATAACACTACCTAAGGGAGTGTCGTGTACTGTTTTGTTATATCACAGCTTTTTTATCTCTTGTTTGTAGTATTTGCCGTACTTGTCAATATATTTCTTCAATATTCAATTTCAGTTGTATGCAAAATCTAGTCACAATGCGCAATGTATGCGTTTTGGGCTTCGTTCCTAAATAAAAAGGTGTGTATTTAATACTTGGCTCAGTGTTTCTCAAGAACAAGCGGACGTTTAGCATTATATGTTGCTATCTGTCAAATTTCCTTTAATGAAAGTGTTGCCATTTCAGAATTTCAAATCATGCATAAGTTTTTCTATTCTTTGAGGTGCTAATTTGATTAGTTCTTTTCAAAAATGCACTTTGGTAAAAAAATTCTGTGTGCTTCAGTCTAATGCCATTAATTTCAGTGTATGTCCAGAAGAACTAATTAAATTAGCATTGAAAGCACAGAAAACTTATGCATGTTTTGAACTTTTGACATTGCAACTTTATAGAGTAAAAAGAAAAAAAAAAGACTATAGAAGACTGCTTTTAGAAAACACGCTGTACCGTGTGTCCTTTGGGACTTGTTTGGGAGTTGCAAGGGATAACCCTGGGTTCAGGAAAGTGCGACCAAATCGACCTGCAATGAGTGTCCCCCATGCTGTTTGGGAAATGCAGTGGATATCAAATATCCAGTCAGGGGTGTTCTGTGGACATCCCTAGCATGTTATTGTTGTCACTGGGAACAAGCATGAGTCCGAAGATGATTTCCGCTTCAAGAAAAAAAATTACTCCTGGTAAGATTATAACTATTTCGTAGTGACTGCATTTGTTATTCAACCAAGTTGCATTGCACTCCAAAGTACTATGTAGCAATTTGTGAAAAAACGGCACTGTGAGGGCTAGGGGGAACACACAGAAAGTGACTGCACCGACAAGAGTGCCCATGCAACACCATGGTAGAGTATTAGAATGGGGGAGCGAGTCATTTTCACATATACCAGTCATTTTCACATAGACATCACTTGTTTCTTATTAAAGCCACCATTGTGGAGTCCCAATTACTTTCAGAAGCTGCATCTAACGTCACGTGCAAGCCATCTAATGTCTTTTCCTTTCGACAAACTTCGTGCCCGTTCTGAACCGCTCCTGTATCGGCACCGGAGTTGCCATTGGTAACTACTTTGCGTCAAATCAGCAACTTTACGACCATCCGACGATACAATTTCGGATCGACTCCATGACCACTTAATATTTCATATAATTGTTTGTACATAAAATACATGCGTTTATTGTTAAATAATAAAAACTATTCATGTTGTCACTGTTCTATTTTGCTACAAATCTACCTGACAAAATAAAATTGTATGAATACTTTGGCTACATTTCGGGCGAGTTTTGGCTTTTAAAATTACTCAATGGCAACCATCAACTCTCCCCCCCCCCCCCAACACCCACACGATCGCATGTTACAAACATGGAAGAGAGAAAGTGTAGCAGGGAGTGTCCCATGAAAATTGAGAAGCCCAGCCACACAAAATGAAACAGGAGCATTACGGCAACCGAGCCCAGTGCATGGCTGGCATGTTGACACGAGGCACGCTCACGAGCCCATTAAAAAGGAAATGAAACAGGAGCATCATGGGAAACGAGCAAGAATGCGAGGAGCAAGTGGCTTCAGAGGAGGTTAGCTTGTGGATGCAAGGCATGCTCCCTCCTACTTTTCTTACAAAAGGAAGGGCCTCAAAAATGATCCCATCAACAGTTCAATTATCTCAAAAGAGAGTCCACCAATACTGCAATAAACAAATGCACAAATGAGCTTGGGATGTAACCTATAGTTTTCCAGCATAGCAGATGAACTCAACAATCGGGCTACAATTACATGCACGCCAAAGGTACTCATTTAGGTGTCTGGCACAGATGTCACATGCGGTTCGTCACATTCTTCACTTCCAACATCAGCTAGTACACCAAGATGATGTGTTAGTTGCCTTCTGGGTATGACCATATTTTTGTCAGACAGATACAGTGTGGGTGCAGTCCCCCTCTGGGGAACCAATATATGCTTTCTAGATTTGTCCTACATAGTATGGCCGATATGTAAAGTGCATTTCTTGACATAATGCCTTTCTTGCAATATATTTTCAACAATATGTAACAAGCCCCTGTCAGCAATATATGTAGAAACAAACTTTTTGAAAACGTATCTACATGCAAACAAGCAGCCCCTGCTGATTACCTGTATGTATACAATTTATTGAGGTTAGTTCTGTAAAAACATCTTCCCTTCCTACTTGAAGCACATCAGAATTTTTGCATCAAAATGTGTAAAAGTCAAATAATGAAGCTATACATACGCAGAGGGGCCATCCCAAGTCCATATGAGAGTGTTCTGGAAAACCAAAGCGACACTTGTGTTATCAAGCTGAAATATTATAAGCATAATATAAGCTTTATTTACAAGTGAACCTACCAGTTCATTCGGATACCGAATGAGAATGGGCTGGACTGGAACTCCAGGAACAAAGGCACCTGCAAAAATATCACATAATGGATTTACTCCAAAACAAGTAAGTGGACTTTTTTCATTACTAGATTTAAAATATTTCAAAACATGAATGTGGAACATTCGTAGTATACAGCTTTTACACATTTTACGATGTTCCTATGGGAACAATCTTGCGAAGTAAAACTGTGCCACAATTGCAAGCCTGAAGCGTGTTTAAGCAGCTTTTATAAGTGTAAGTGTCGGGTATTAAGGCAGTATTACGTCACATTGTGTGTCACGCGTCTACCTAAGGGAGAGCATAATCTCTTTTGTTTTGCTTTTTCATGGCAGCGATACTTTAGAAATGCAAGAGCTGCATTCAATGCCACATCAACAAGTACATTGATCACCGTGTTGAGCCGGGCTGCGAGGCTAATTGTTTTGACCAAACCTATCATACCAAAATGTAATAACACGAAGCAAAAACAACACAAGTGGCTACACGAGTGGTGCTTAGACGTTTTGTAACGAACAGGAATGTACTACCGCTTATGTTAGGTCGCCAATTATTCAATTGCCATTTGGCTGAGTGGAAGACTGAGCATTCCCAGTATATTACGCCACTTGCCAATATAGAACTTGTCATGTAACACAAACGATGTATGCTGAAGCAACCACAAACACTATGTGTTTGGTGGTACGTACATGCCGCATACTATACAGATGGCTGTTGCCTTTTTTTCTGTTCTGTAGTTCTTGGAACAACCACAAATGGCACAGTGGCTTCCCATTGACCTTTCGCTGACTTATTTCACCATAAAGAGAATAAAATCTGCAGTTTGACCTAAAACATGCTAAATGTTCGACAACGCCACTCATCCAAGCACCAGCCAGTACACTCTGCGCCATCGGCACGCTCCAAAAAGGGGGAAAGCACTAGTCGCCAGTCTGGTCCTCCTCGCCCAATAGAACGATCAGGTTCATTTGGAAAGAATCTGCGAAACTCGATCATGCAATTTGGCATGAATGGCGCAAACATGCAAATGGACGTACCCAGTGAATTTCAGCGAGATCCATTGACCTCGAAAAATCACCAGAGTTTGCCTTTAAGCTCGTAGAAAGTACAAACCCTCCGGTATGAAGCGGCACTCACCCTGCTTGAAAGTGATGAGACATGAACGGTTGGTGCAGGTGCCCTCTGGGAAGATGATCACCTGGGACCAAGGTTCCTTGGAGGTAGCACGGCGGGTGATCTCGCGCACCGTGTTCTGGCGAGAGTTGGGGTCACTCCGCTTCACGTACACTGGCTGAGTGTAGTTCAAGATAGCTGCCAAGCACACAGTAAGGGCCCGAGACCCGTTAGGCGCTGGCTTTCCTTGGTCAGAAGGCTTATACATACACATAACTGTGCCACAGGAAGGGAAGAGTGCAGCTCTGAGATATGAAGCCACTGTATAACATGCAGCCTGCTGTATGTGTGGTGTGGGCTGACGATTTGATTTTCCTATCTCACAAAAAATGTGTAACATGCACAACATCTACACTGGTGCGAACAAAGCACAGAGAATGTTATTCTGTGCACTCAGCATACATCACGTGTGTCAAAACTGTTGCCATGTGCATATTTAGATGAAAAGTGCAGGCGCTGCCAGTGGGTTCCGAGACTATGCTTAAATGAGTCAATGGAGAGAACATCGACGTCAGCAAATGACTGGCAAGTGATTTTGACTAGGATGTTACAGATGGCCAGTGAGTAACTATTATAGCACAGACGAACATCGACACAAAATTATATTTAAAATGGTTCACAAAAGCCTTTAGCAAAGCAAATTTAGAGAGTACACTAAGCTAATTACAGAAATCGCAAGGGTGGGATTTGAAACTTGTACTTAACTCATGCGAGCCGATTTCCTTGTCTACACGAATCTACCGAAATGGCATCACGGAGCAGCATAACATGAGATACATACAGCAATCACAATAGCTTGACTTCGATAAATGAGCCCCATATATTTAGTTTTTGGCTTTTTTACTCCTCCACAATCAATGCTACGTCGATAAAACATTGAAACACTCTCAAACAATGGGTAATCAATGATTTATCCAGGGAAAATGAAAATTTGTATGCATCATGCTATATCTCGCAGACCAGGACACTTCTGCACCTCGTGCATTTTTGCCTAAAGGTACAATGCTGCCCAAATTATTGCATTATTGCGAGGCACGAGCGGCAAGCTAACGTACAGTTATAATGTTGCGCATTTTTTTTAGTGCTCTATATAACCTTTCTGCTGTTTTTTTAACCAAAATTACAGGGCAATAAAGTGAGCACTGTGGTTAAAAAATTTATAACACCAGTTTTACAACAGGTAGAATGCACCCTTAAGTTTTTTCAGCAAAGCATTGTATAAGAAACCTCAGCAGTTGTTTTTAGTTCATATTACTGAAGGTAACAACACTTCTATCTAGCTAGCCAGCTAGCGATATCTAACACTGCGATGCCCCATTAAGTAATTCAGCGTGACTACGTAATTTAGGCCAGACGTTCTTATCCTTAGCTTTGAAGTTCATTATGACATGCCCAACTGATTCACTGAAGCGAAAAGTGTGTGTGTGCACACGCAGATACACACACACACACACACATCTAAACACACAACAATCGACATCTTATGCTTGCCCTCAAAAGGTACAAACATCCTCGTCTGCTAGGCAGCACCCTGAAAATGTCCCCAGAAGATCATTTGCAGAATTATCCTTCTTATGCGGACGTGTTCAGGACAGCCACCAGCTTGGCTCTTTATCAATGGAAATTACGAAATTTGTGCAATGAACACCATTTGACAGAAGATTTATTATAAAGATATATCTAGCGATATCACAAACTTACAATTGCCGAAGCACACATTTTGCCTTATTCCGAATGAAGATACGACTTTGGAACGCAATGCTTAGTCATTCCGGTTGTTTAAAACGCACTAGTTAGGGGGACAATAACCCTCGGGAAGTTACAATTCCTCAACATATATTTAAATTTCTTGAGCTTCTGAACCCTGGCAACAATGACTCACTGGGTTCAGGAAAAAAAAAAAAGCAAGTGGACCTCTAGTGGCTGTACATGAACATTAATGTGTTCCATCCGGTTTCTTGAAAGCGTTGCACTCGTTTTGTGTATTCGTGATGGCAGAAAGTAACAAACGACTATTTCACCGCGAGCGAGATTGCCGCGTCAATGCGTGTGCTCAGTTTGTGCGCGTAAACAACAGCCTCGCAAGCCGGCGTTTATAGCACTCTGCGCGTATAGTCTGACAGTGTCCACAAAAACGTAACATTCTTTGCCCGGCCCCAAGTCTAGGTTGCGCCTTATATTACCCAGGGTTAAGCGACTCGGCACAATGAACAAATGGCGCATGGTCCCGAGTTTAGTGGCAATTCTGCCAGCATGTGTATCAGTGTTGGCTCGCGCAGTGGAGACAAAGATTTGCTGCCACCAGCCTTTTCGTTGTAGAACGATAGGCGCCGACTAAGCAGTGAAGTGCTGATTGAGGCATCATCTAAGTTGAGGCATCGTGTCTCACGACGAAATCAATGCGCTTAATTTACAACAAATATTACAAATGCGAGTAGTAGAATCGCGAGGCTCGCATGCCGCGGTACCGCCACTGCTGCCAGTTTTACAGAGCCACTCGTTTCTTGAGCGAGTCTAATCTGCTATAGGATACCCTTGCAAACTCCAGGTAGAGCCCTTAACATTAGGGAGCTGGCAGGAGAGAAATTTTGACATTTTTACCTAGAGGACGTACTGCGGCCAACTGCAGAGATGTACACGCTAGCCTGACAAGCTCAGCCTATGTTTAGATATTGACGATTTGCCACTTGCAGAGAGTCTGAGGGCAATATTTGGTCGCATCTGAAATTTAGAAAGAAAACAGATGTGTTGTTGCGAGTTTTTTTTTTTTTTTCTGGCAAAAACAAATTGCAAAATGCAAACAGTGCATTTTTGTAGCATTTTGTAAAAGAAACTAAAGTGACCGATTTCCGGAAGTTTTTTTGGTTAATGGTGTGTCAGTTCCTGTGAAGCTGCACAGCATAGTTTGCGATGCATCCGCCAAAGCCTGTGTCCTATGTTGGGAGTCACACAGGCTATTTCATCTGCCTGAATCGTGCAGTGTAGAGCATGTCTACTGCAGGAGGAGTGTTTCCCCGACTTTCTCAAACACTATCCGCACTGATCACAAGAGTGGTTCCATGCTGTGCTTGCGAAATATGTATAGTATTCTTAAAGGGACACTAAAGTCAAATAATTCATATCAGAGTGAAAGCTCAATGTATGACAACATCTAAAACGACCATATAATCAACAGCAGTGCCCAACTTGCCAAGAAATTGAGGTAGGACATTCTCAAAATGATCCGGATGACGTCAGTTGAACAGCCTACAATTAATTACTAGTAATCTATCTATCTTCACTAAATAAAGAACCTTCCGTGTATCAATAGCCGCAATAAAATGCTGCCTGTTCGTTTCTACTGGACTAATGAAAAAAGAACCGCCGGATGTTACTATGAGGAATGGCGCGAGGCATTCAAGAATTCAATTTTCGTGTAGTTAAGCTGGACAGGTCGTGCCATCTGGCAGGTCCCGGTTGAACCGAAACACGTCTGCCATCTTGGAACCAATGAAGGAAATCGATCAATGGCCGTTGCTGCTGCTGTGGCTCCAGCTGCTTTCGTTTTGCTGCTACTAGTGTCGGCGGGAACGAAATAAAGACGGGTAATGTTGTGCACGCCAACAGTGACGTGTGATGATCCGTTTCTTGAGGCGGGTAACATGATGTGCGCTAACCCGATGCAGATCACTTAAAACATGATTTTAATTCAAAATATTCCCTTCCTTGGCACAGATTTAACACTACGAGGTTTCTGGACTGCTATTTCAGCAATTAACATAGACTTCATAGTTGCCTTTAGTGTCCAAGATTGTCCCCACAAAAGCTATTTGCCTTTTTTAGAATCACTGGAAGTACACTTCTGATGAATGAAGGCTGCTGAGTGCATCGACCTCCTCATTATTTGAATGAGTTTATTGTTGGCGTTGCCGGCCGGGGCATTAGATTAAAGTATTTCTAGAAAGTGGTTGTTTTTCGGTTTCCTTCAGCAGGTGGCACAGCCACATGGTCTGGTACTGTCACATTTCTATGCCATTAACACACAACCATGCTTTAACATCATCTTCACATAAAAGCAAAATCTAAAAACCAATCCTGACAGGTAGCGTAGTCGGTACACAAGCTGTCTCAGAAATGCCTAGTGGGTAGCACAGCTGGTACGCAAAATGTCCTGGTGGACCAATAGGGTACGTTTAAGTCCCCTATAAATCCTGAAATAGTGTCAGAAATGCCATGATGAACCATTATGGATCTTCAGAAGACGTGCTGAAGCAGGACTAATAGGACCTTTCTTGAACTCCATCCGAACTAGTTGAGCATGTTCTCAGGACATTCAAACTTCCTCATGAAAACTTTTTAAAACACACTCAGGATGTGTTTCTGTTGTCTGGGAAGCTTACATTATCACCATAAAACCACCGTAGTGTTTCAATGCCACTTTCATTATTACCATTACTCTGCCATCAGTCCCATGTTTGCACACCAAAATTTGCCCCGGCAAGTATACGGATTACATTGGCTTCGTGCACACAGTTTTGTGAAGTATCAAACAGTAAAATGTGCCGTGAACAGCTTTGTCTGATAAAGAACTGCGTGTCTAGATCACTACCAGGGCGCGAGAGGTGCGGTCAAAGACAGCGTCATCAGTGTGTGTGTCAAAAACACAGGAAGCTAGCCATTAGAATTTGCTCTTCGCTCTCCTCAAGGCATCTTACTATGCATAAGCGCGCAGTGCACTCTCGGGCACTGGTCGTATTATAGCACAGTTAGTCACGGAGGCAAGCAGGCATGCATCACAGGAACCAACCACCACAGAGAGAGAGAGAGAGAGAGAGAGAGAGAGAGAGACAGGTACAGATACATGAAGCCAACTCTAGAAGGAGAGTTGCTGAGCACGTACTGCTGAGGAAGAACATGCCCTTGCTCTTGGAGCGCACGACGGCCGAAGGCACCGGGTTGCCAAGCATGGCGGCCACCGTGTCGAAAAAAGAGGAGTGTGGGGCGGCCACCAGGATGGGAGCCTCGTGGGCGGGCGCGGCCCGTCCCACCGTACGCACCACGAAGCCAGCTGAACGCACGCACATGAGCACGCACTCTCTGGACACGCTTTGGATGGCCCTGCGGCAGTCGTCGGCCACCCGGACACCACGGAAAAGAGACACAGGCGGACACACCATGTACACACACAAGTACACATGACAGTCGCCGCCTGCAGGCGCAACGGGCACAAAACCCCTACGACCTGCGGGATAATCCCGTGTGCAGCTTCTTAGCACACGCTGAGACTTGATCAGTTCACACATTTCTAGCTGGTACGGCTAGAGATACCGCGAATTACCACCATTAAACAGCCAGCTAAAGAGATCGCGAAACAGCGATGTGGGTGGAGGAGTGGCGCCCGCTGTGCGATAAGTTGGCGTGTCGGTGTAAGCATTAATGAAGAAATTATACATAAATATAAAACATTCGACAGGAGACTGGTTTAGGTGAACCTACTGCTACCATTTTTCTCGTTTATATTTATCGTTTGAAGGAGCAGAACAGTAGAGACATATTTGAGTAAGTATTTATATGTTCAGTCTGTAGCGTACACTAACGAAGACAGCTACAATTTTTGCCTTATCTTTTATGTGGCACTATCCAAGATTGCATTGGATAAAATAGTGGTGGCCAAAGTGCAGAAGAAGACTTGTAACGCAGCACTCTGGGGCAGAAAATGTTCGTGCCGGTTGATAGCACCCCTTTCTATCTATTATATTTCACACATAGTACAAATGCTTTAACGGTGCAGCATGTTAAGCACCCGACTTACTAACTTTTTTCTCGCAATTCCTTTTCTGCGAAACTGCACAGTGTTTTCTCAAATGTTACAGCGTCTTGGCCACCAATAAAGAGGAAAAAAGCGCGCACACAGGAGGCGAAGTGAGGAGGACGCCAGACAACACTGCTGAAAAATAAGTGACTCTTCAAAACAATGAAACATCACAGATAAGGCAGCAAAATTAATGACGAATTAATAGAAAAACATCCCTATTAAGCCTGAAAGTGACACCACATGCATACAGCAACATAACCATGCGATACCTCCACCTGTTATAGTACACTTTTTTCATGCTGTGAATGTCACAAAATTACACAGAACACTGTAAAAAGTGCACAAACTAGCAAACCAGTGAAAAAAAAAAAAGCACAGAAGGAGAGGTGTAAGGTAAGGAGGGCAGGAAAAGGTAAACTGCGACGAAAATGGAAACTGCAAGCAGTACCATGGTGTGTTAACGTGTTTTCACTATTCACAAAAGGTGCTCCTTACATTGGATGAAATATCGCTGGTCAAAGTGCAGCAGAAGAGTTGTATAACGTGAGTGAGAGCACGCAAACTGACATCGTACATGCAACAGAATGTCGAATTTTTTTACAGCACAAAACATTTCGTTAAACAAAAGAAAATAAATGAACACGTAATTCTTCCTGCATGCCCACTAGTGAGGAATGCGAGCGGTTCATATCCTATACGTATTACACCGGCTCGCCACTTCAAATGGTGCGTGAAGCCTGCCGTTACCATGAGCTGCGCTGGAAGAATTCAGAGTTTATACGACTGAGCCATTGATTAACGAGCTTGGCTTATGTCACTGCCCATAGCTTGGTCTTGGATGTCGAGCAGATTTATCACTTGGGGCGGACTTCCAACAGTTCCCATGGAAACTCTGTTCGAATCACTTTCGGTCCCGTCTTCACCCCGCATTCCTGCTATCAATACTCGGACCAAAGTGCGAACTCTATGGGCAGTGCATGATAAAAACGGAATAACTCCCAGCTCTTCGTCTTAACTCTGGCCGATTCCTGGCACCAGTCGAGGCGAGAGCTGGTGTGGGGCACGAACCACGAATTTTCTCTGGCTATAATTATGTCGATGTACATCTGCTTCCACGGACCTCCTCTTTGAAGGCCCGCAGGTTCGAACCTAAAGAGCGGTGTGGAAGTAAAATGCTGCGTCGTGAAGTCCATATCACGAAAAGATAGCACTAAGTTCTCCAGTACCACACAAGAATTAGGTTCTTTGGCAGTAATGCTTCATAAATGCCGGGGCTCTGAAACTCATCATCTGCCGGGCCACAGTCACCAAGTTCATTCCCGCAACGAGCGGGCCCAGAAAATAAGCTATGGGGGGGGGGGGGGGGGGGGGGGGGAACAAAATGTCAGTTAACGTTGCCATTGCCATTTTGCAGCATCCGTTTCCCATTGATAAATGAGTGACTTCTAATAGGCCTTTGGCATCAGGCTGCAAAAATCTAACAGCAGCGGTGGCTCTATGGTTAGAAAGTCTGCTTCCGATGCAGGAGGTACTGCGTTTGATTCCCAGTGCCGACCAGGAAACCCACCGGTTTTCACCCAATGAGTGCAGGAGCAACCGACCTGGCGCTCGGTTATTTCTGGGAATTAATCTCGAAAGGTAGCCCAATAGGGTGCTGTAAAGGCTTCTGGGCGTACCTTAATCCACCACAGCCTTGGTGAAATAGTCGAGCATCCGTCGCTGCTGTGGGAGGCAGAGAATTGCTGCTGCCAAGCACCTACTGGTTACATAGGTGCAAACGCACTTCTGGCTTAGGAGGGAGTGCACCTCGTGGGAAATTGGTGGCATGGGACCACTAGACCTATAATTAGGGTCATTCTTTTTGATTTTCGAAAAATAAAGAAATTTGTTGAAATTGAAAAGCATGTAGATACCAATTTACACAATGACTTCATTCTTCACACCGATCCTCAGCTACACGCTTCAATAGTAAGGTGACCACATAGGTGCTCCACGAAAGAAATGCTGAAGACCACTCGCGTCTGCGCAGCTTACCTGCACATACCTTTATCAATCACGATAGGCTGAAAAGAATGCGAGCACAATGTAGCAATCGCTAAATCAACTGCTTACGAGATTACTGTACAGTGACTAAGTCGTGAATTAAATGTGGGACCAATACTCGTGTGCCAGTCACGGGCCACCTGTTTGAGACCCCCGATATATACGAAAAAGAGGCGGGATATCAGACTACCATCAAACTAATAGAAAACAAACTGCCCACCCACCCTCTATCAACCCAAAACTTTCGTGCATAGCATATGTTTGAGCAGTCCTGAAATTTACTCTGCCAATGAGCGCGTTGCCCCGCATTGTTGTGAAGCAAAATGACAGTGCACTTTCGAATTTCCTGCACAACTTTAACGTAAAAGGAAGCAGTCATTTTGTCGCATGACAGGGGAGAAAAATTCCTTTTGTATTCCGCCCGGCTTTTTGTCTCAAATTATTCCACTGCGACTCAGTGTCGCATTTTGCGTCGCATTCTTATGCAACCTGAACAGACCTGCCTCTTCTGTGCAAGTGTCACAATAACATTTTTCAGCAATGCAATCAATCCAACATACACGTGTGAACCATTAGATCTGCACATTTGACAGTGCTGCATCACCCTGCCAAAATGCTTCGGTGAAAGGAGTTGAAGGGTATGTGGTGAAGTTAGGCGAATATAGGTGATGCAGATATATAGTTTCATCGTCGGCTCTGCACTTGCGATGGCCTTGCCCTCATTTATATTTTTTCGATCAGTACCTGGGGCACCGGTTGCAGCGAATCAGTTTGACGACTGCCACAACCACAAGCACTCGCCCTTTCATCTTAAGGGGCAAAGATGAGGGCAAAGGTGATGCACGGGTGAGGGCTAAAGATGAATGGGGCTTACTTCCAAAGATGGGCACGTCTTCCGAGCCGGCTTTGGCAACAGGCGTAAGCCCTCCCAACAAAAGAACAATTACGCCATCGAGAAGTGACGAGTGTGGCCCCACAACGAGCACGGGCGCCTCCTTCTGCGAAGCCAGCTGGCCCTTGAAACTGTAGGTCAGGCCACCACTTTCAAACATTAGCCGTAGAAAGAACGCCAGAAAAGGCTTCAGGTAGTCCCTGTCCATCACCGTTCATTGTGAGCATAGCCCCAACAAGACGTCCATAATAACGAATCAGACCCAGAATTTGTGTTGGAGACATTCGTTTCGGCCCACGCAGTGATAACCATTAGTTGCGTTTTGTACAGGCGATGCCCGTGGGGGACAGATGCCAAGAAAGGTCAGCGCATTGACCAAGTGAAGCGACCACGCGTCGTGTGGATGTTGCCATAGTTGAACAAAACAGAGCGATGGCAGTTACAAGCACATATTGTTCCGAGAAGCGAGGACATGTAAAATACATCGAAGCAGCAGTGAGCGCGCACGCCAGGTGTTCATGACCAAGCGCGAACCACAAAACGCCATCCATAATGCAGCACCATGAGGCACCACATGCGTTTGGTTAATATTATTGTTAAGGACACACACCACCGCACATATCAAAGCAGGGGTTTAACAATGTCATTTGTTTGAATTGTTAACAGTTTTTTTAATACACACGCATATATATATATATATATACACCCACGCAAAAAAGTAATTGCAAGCAAGGTGAGGATAGAAAACCACACAGACCATCATCGTGGAGGCCGCGAGATGTGAAGAAATTATAAACCAAGAAGACGCGACCGCATTCAACCGATGTCAATAGATCGTCCAAGGTTCGTTCGATCCACAATCGCCAGCGGGCCATGGCGGGTGCACAGGGTTGCCAGGGCGTGCGGGGAGGATGGGGTGAAAGTGATCGGAAAATGGGAATGGGGTCATGGGGTAGAGTAACGCGACAGAAACAGAAGGGAAGAAAAGAAAAAGGAACAGAAAAGAAAAAAAACATAAAGCATTGAATTAAACACTGAGTGCATGTCAAAAAGCTAGAAAAGCATTGAAAAAAAACCATGCTACGAGGTTCACTTATCAGCCATAACGCACTCAATGCGCTCGGTAAAATTCATGAAAGCACACCTGATCTGAAAGGAACGTCTTCATTATATAACACATCATACAATGCAGTGAACAAATACAATAGCAGGCGTGGGTTAAGCATTCATTATATACATGCTGTATGCGACTAAATGCATATTGCATGCCGATAAGTTGTTCGTCTGTCTAGGGGCAGAATGTTTTAGCTACCCGAGCGAGGCAGGCAAAAGACGCAGCAAATGTGCAGTCATTTGCGACGGCTTACTCCGAACGGCTGTCGACAGGCGTCCGGGCCTCCCAGATTGCATGGCCATCGAACAAGAGGTGATTCGAAGGTCTTTGAGAGACAAAAACAATACATATAAAGATATATGCATGTTCACGCTGGAGCTTCATCGGCAATGTTCCACTAAGCGAAAGCAATCGCATCTGTGCCCCTCGGTGTTGTATATATAATAACGACCATATTGTGCCCCTAGAGTTAGGGACTTGCCTTACTCATGCGGATATTGCTTAAAGATAAATGTGCCGCCAGTGATAGCGCAGAACTGTCCCACTAATTCGAGCTCCGATGCCTAGCCACATAGCGTGTACCATGACATGACGCCAGCGAGGGCAGGGGCATAGGCAGAATTTCTCTAGATGCGAAGCGACTCTTTGACTAGCCTGTGTAACGCTGTCCCTCCGCACACCCCCACTGCGCATGCTCGCGTCTCACGTCGATTGCCACATGCTCGCGTCTCGTTTGGGCCCAGAAAGACATCCGTAGAACTGTTGCTTCCCTCCCCATTTCTCCCTTGCAAAGTCGACGCAGGCAGCGTCTGCTAGTAAAAATACGACTGCTCGCGCTGCACAACCGTTCACTGGCCACCCGTATATGTCGGCACTGGATCGCGCGAGTCTATTTGGCTTTCGCTTGAAGAGCGCCAGCGTCAACGACGCCGCCAGTGTAAGCGTTAGCGCCCACTGCACATGGTCGGAAGATAGTCCAAGCTTTTTTGGGGGGGGGGGGGGGCTCAGTGTGCAACTTCTCGGCTCGAGCCACACATTGACGATCATAATTTGCGCCGATTTCAATGTACGTACCCTATTGTGACAGCAAAATAATGAAACAGATTAATTTCTTAAACAGTGCTACATATTTCGGGCACGTTTTTAAGCGCATTTTAGTGAACGCTATAGGCTATGAGCAAACTTTTCATTATGTTATTCTAAGAGTATTCAAAAGAAGATTTTTTAGCCAATTGTTCCGATTGATAGGTTCATAATAGTTTAGTGAACACTACAAGCTTATGCCGATGGCTTGCGAAGACGTCTCGTCAAATACGCTTGGCATGTAGCAAACATCAAACTGCAGCGTAAACTCTTACGAATTTCGCTGCGGAGCGGACGTACTGCACGTGCGCACGATACGAATGCCTATACGAGGAAGCAGATTTCGGGCAATATGCACTTCTTAACTAAAGACTGCAAAAAATGTGGACACGATCGACTCCACAAAATTATGCTACTATTGAACGATTTTGAACAAGTACTTTAAAGAGTGCATTGCGACAGCACCGGCTTTCACGAAGGATCTGCCTTCGTGAAAGCCGGTGCCGTAATCACTTCCATTTAAGTTAAAACGCACCTGTGAGCCGGGAGAACGGTGTCGCTTTTTTTTCTAGTGCGTTGGGAGCATTTCCTGTGTCCCGCAGCAAGCAAAGCTTGTGGGCAAAAAGAGAAATCTTCCGGGAATACCGAACTAGTACTGCAAAGTTGTTCGTCTTCTTTCTAGCAAGCGACCTCAAGAGAACTTTTCCTGCATTCCAAAACAAACGTTCTTCAAAATGCAGTGGCGAAACGTTAGGGCGCTGCTTTTGCATAGCCACTGACAACGTCGAACAACGGAAACAAAGAAAGGCGGCGAAATGCGTCGGCTCTTCACCTTAATGCTTAATGTATTCGCGGAGAACGAAGCAGGAGGAAATGCGGAAAACCAAGCAGCTACTACCAACGTTTTCTCATTTGGGCCTCCTTGAACACCCTGCGCGCATAATTAAGCACTTCGGGCTAAAGTGCGGCGACTGCGCACGAATTTTCACCACTCCGAAGGTAAGCCGCGCCGCAGCACACATCCGCTGTGCGGCTAAGCACGCCACGCAGAAAACAGGCTGTCTAGAAAAGAAAAAAAAAAGTGCAACTCTGCACAAGCTAAAGCTTATGTCAGTCAAGCAAAAACTCTTCGCACTCAGGGCCTGTTCACGAGTGGTCGGCATTCACGGGCTGGAGTCGGAAAAACTGTAGGCGAATATGTATGCAACGTACAAGACGTGAAAAGAATGTTTCACGTGTACGAGTAGAGAACAGCACACAAGCCTTAGTTTAGGACATTGTTGAAGGCTTTTGGCGACACAGTGTAACAATGTTTGTCGGAGGAAACCAAGGTAGAATCCGGAAAGCCCGCTGCTCCTTGCGACAGCTGTGCAAACAACTCGACCTTGAAGACAACATCCGTCACCGCAGCAAGGGGTGGTTGTGTTGCGCGAGGCGCGGAATGCATTCGCACGAACCGACAACCTCTTCGTAGGAGAGAAGAAAAAAAACGAAAGTGATGACACACTATAGCAGTCGGGCATCCTTAGACATACACACGCGTGAGCCGAAGAATGAGCACACGCAGGCTCTCGACAGCTATAGCTTTCTGAACAATGTGATGCATCGAGCATTAAAGTCCTTTTGCCGAGCTGGGCAAACATTTTCGCTCGGACAAGGGTCCTAACGAACCCCAGGCTCGCAGCCACTGATTTTATGGTGAAGCGCCACATAAGCATCGAAGGCACCAGAGAGCCGCGGTTGTTCCTGTTGCCTGTACGAACAAAAAAAAAATGCCACAAACGAAATTGTATAAGGCCCACCACAATTTTGTTTATTTGGCTTTGCCAAAACGACTACACGCACAAATTAACTTGGTGTTTGTCATGCTAATGAACTTGGTGTCTGTCAGGAAGGAAACTTGGGGTCTGTCATGCTAATGAAAAAAATTTTTGCGGTACAATCCGTATTCATCGGCGAAAAAGGCAAATGACATTGGGAGAATACCTCCCCCAAACCTGTCAAAATAAAGACACATGAGAGGTCTCAAGCTGCTAGCGAGCCGAAGCCACAAAATTCAGTCCGCCAGGCGGGACAGCGAATAATGGTTGAATGCGGCAAAGGGGGTTTGGGGGGGGGGGGGGGTTGAACGAAATGTCAGCCGAAGTTGTCATAGAAAGAACGGCTTTTCAATTTCTCAAATGAGAGTAATGTCCGAATCAGATTTGGCGACAGAGGTAAAACAAAAACATTCCATAAAAATATCTAGAATGACTAAAACCTGCACGCAGATTCTGAAATATATATATTTTATTCCACGGTTATATTTCACCTCAGTGGCTACATGAGGGGCCTCACGCATAGAATACTCGAGACCAGTCCCGTCTATGCAGCTTACACCCGAAGAAAGAATTATCCTTGTAGATATAGATGTGAAAATAATACGAGTACCCCCTTAAGCAAGGTCACAAAACATTTTTGTGAAGCTGCGGGCCGCTAGCGAAATTATATATGTCATCAAGCACTGGGACCTGCTTTGTGAAGGTCCAAATTACACAGACAACATGAGCCGTTTCATTGTATAACGGCAATGGTAAATGAAAAGACTAGCGTACTTCGTGACTAGGAAGAGACGGCTCTCCCAATAGACGCGCGCATACCTGACTTGCCCTATCACGTATACAGCAATGCGTTTTATGAACACCAGACTGCACAGATAACTGCCTCCGGCCAGCGCAAAGGCAGGATAACGGTCAATTTTCAACAAGACATCAGACGCTTTCACCGTTGCCTGTTTTCGCCCACTGTCGATAAACGATGTCAAATATGGACAGTTCAAGTTGGAAACAAAAAAAAAAAAAGAAAAGACGGCGTGCAAAGGGCACACGTAGTTTTATGCAGGGGTGCTGATGGTGAAAGTGTGCATTTGAAAGTTTAGAGTCAAATGGCGAACGCACCTGCGAAATCCGGTAAGCGGCTTCTCTGTGCGGTCCTTGTGCGAAAGGCCGAGCTGACCCAGGTAGCAGCCGATCCAGGTGAGAAACAGGAAGAAAATGATTAGCACGATGCGTATCGGAACCACGAACACCGACATCAGGGCCACCTGCACGTAATATACAGAGATTGCAATTGCCCGCCTCTGCAGGGCACAACATTGATCTTAATGCGTACACTGCATCCCGCTGACAGTTGCTTGTCATTTCACTTTAACTCCACTGCACTCTCCCGTGAATGCTTCGTTACGTACATCCGTCGGCGTTGCTAGCAAGCAAACAGTGCCGCGCTGCAACAGGCTGAGCCGCGTTGTATAAGAAGAAAAAAAAATGGCCCCGAATCTACATGTTACACTGTAAATGTCGTCGAAAGACGATAGTCTAGCGTCTGGAGAGAGTGAACAAAACGTTTATTTGACGTTCTGCGCAAGAAAATCGGTGAATGGTATTCTGAAGGCGCTGCGTTAGAGTGCCTCGAGCGTGTAGCGGAGGCAAACAAGCGCATCTAGGCACGTTAGACACAAGCGCCATCTTGCAGTTATCTTCGAAAACGAAGGCGCGCGCGACCGCGGAGAAAGATGCGCGCCAGTCTCGGAGGTGATAAGGCGTAGAATGCAAAGCGACGGGCAGGTGCCACCAGCGTGTCGTCGTATCAAAGCGTTCGAAACACCTTCTTGGGCATCGCTTTGCACTGTCAGCGCAGCGCGATAAACGCTACAGTCCTTAGAGTTACTTGCGTGCGCCTGTTCTGGTATAAAGGCACACATACAAAACATAGGCATGTTGTTATGGCGCCTCAGATATGCGCAATATTTGCTTTTTTTTAATTGACAAGCGCACAACTATGAACGCTAAATTTGAGCAATATTGGTGGGCGCTGCGGATGGGGTTGGCCATTTGGTGCCGTTTGAGGTAACACACTCTTCGGCAAAACTTTTCAACAGGTATTGTTAATGTCTCAATGCGTTGTGTCGACGAACTAACCACATGAAGTTGCCGTTGAAGTCTACGGCATCACGTTAAGTGCGGGAACTATAAGACGACGTTGGATTTATTCATTTTTTTTTTTTGCTAACCAAACAGCCGCTCATGGTATAATGTGGGTAAGTATCCCAGATCTAATTTCAACCTGGATAAGATCAGATCAAAACAATATGACTTGTGAAACGTACCTAATTCCTTTCTGGTTTCCTACGCCTTCCCCAACATTCAGAAACTCCTCGGTTATCTCGAACTCACGAACGTCGCTATTTGCTTTTTTTTTTGCGACTTGCGATAGAAACTTTTTAAATATTAGTTTCACTTTAAAAGCGATTGCGACAGAACTGCGAACGGAGGAATTCCATACACAGCTAGAATGAATTGCGTGACAATAGATTCACAGCAGCCGGCGAAGCTTTGTTTAAAGCACCGGGAGAAAATTCGGTACTATGAGCAGTTCGTAGGGCCTCCCGCTTATTTGCATGGCCGAAACTCGCGCCTGCCCTGCTCTTTGAAATCTCTTGCGGCGAAGCGTTTGCGTTGTTTCAGTTGCCGCGCAAGGCATGCGGGGTGCCATCGACGTTTGCGACGAAAAAGAAAAGAACAGAAAATCAGATATGTGAATCGGTGGAACGCACCTTGATCTTGTCGGCCCGGGTGAGGTGGATACGGTAGTGAAACGGGTTCGGCACGGCATCCTTCACCGGCGAGTAGGAGCCCTGGATAAACTGGCTCGTCATGTTGTCGATGTCATCGGGTGCTTTCAGTTGCGTGTAGTCTGCGATACGAAACAGAAACGCAGGTTGCACACCAGCACAAGTGCAACAAGGACGTTCACGCACGTTCTCCGGGAAGAATCGAGTAATTTTGATAGGCAATAAGTAGTTTTACGATGGCATTGCAATGTATTCTTATGCCAGTAATTCCACACTATGCTTGAGTACGTTTCGCCCTGCAATGAAGAGGCACCACGCCCGGCGTTTGGTCTTGACAATTTTCGCACAAATCATCGGTAGCCACACACGTGTCTCAATGCATGCGCCAGCATAGCGCAGTTTCTTTCTCTTAATACGCACCCCTGATGGAGTTTAGGAGGCGCGGTGCGCCTTTTCCGTAACGGCAAGTCCATTAATACGGATATGATGCCCTATGTAGTGCGATGATTCAATGCATGTCACATTAATTTAAACGAAGCTACGTACCGTACGTGTGATCTGACGCCGGCGTCTGAAAGCTACCAGCACACGGGTGGTGTCTGAAGGCGCACGAGCCCCTCGGAATGGAACACCGCGCTGTGTCACCGCGACAACCGCGGGTGGCGTATATCACTATGCACGAAGAAGAAGAAAAAAAGCCCGGCAATTGTTCGCATTTATTTAATTTTTTTTCATCTTCACAGCTACGAAAAAAATTTTAATGGCATTCGTAAAGCAAGACTTACTTCTAATTTCACTCGGGGAACACGAGAAGAAAAAGAAGAAAAAAATACGTCAACAATTTGCTCGAATGCGACATCAAAACATTTAGGAAAAGGCTCGTGAGAACAATGGTGAGGCATAAAAGAATATGAGAAGAAAAGTGAAACTACATTCAATTCCGAGAGAACGTGTCGTATAAGAGCACTATATAACGCTCAAATTTTCCTAACTGGCATGCACATGTGGCGTGAAATCACATAGCGCGAGGAGTCGAGAAAGAGGAAACTAAGTGACAGCGCACATTTCTTTTTCCTCGTCTGTTCGTGCTGTCCCCCCACTCGAGGTTCTTGTAGTGGCCAGGATCAAACCCACTCAAAATCTGACGATGCCTGCAGCACTGAAACCAATTTACCCGTAGTTCGGCTCGCCCGCCTTCTTTATTTCCTTCAAGCGCGAATTATGATGCGATATTTATACGAATGTTAAAATTCACAAGCCATAATTCTAAGTCGATCAAGATTACATTCCAAGAAAAAAAAATGAAGCAAATTGCCGCTTCGGGTTAAATTCAGATAATTGTAGTTGGCATGTACTTAAGAACTTCGATATTATATTATTACACAGAGGTGTTCCTTTTGTCATAAAAAGAATTATTCCATAGGCTCCAAACGTGTGCCCGACTAGCTTTTGGTTGTATTCATTCTGAGAGAAGATAATCGTTAGGGTTTAATGTCCCAAAACCACGATGTGATAATGAGAAACGCCGCGTAGTGGAGGGCAACCACATGGGGTTCTTTAACGCGTCTCTGATTCGAAGTACACGGGCCTCAAGCACTTTAGCTTCTATCCAGAATGCGGCCCCCGCAGCCAGGATTCGAGAGAAGTAATACTTCTAAAGTTCGTATGAGGTCATTCTGCTTGAAGAGGCAGAGAGATGGAACAAACATTTTTATTCCTTGTGATAAGATCGATTTAATCAAAGTAGATAAGGCATTAGGTCAACATGAAAAGTCACAGCTTTGTCGCAAGGACGAAGCAATGAACGCGATAGCAACAAATAGGAAGGTCACGCGCAGAATGGAAAGCAGATCGAAACGTGCCCCGCGTTTGTCACGCAGAAATGACGCATGAAACGTACTCCCAGGTACAGAAACACGCGAATAAGCGGCTCAGTTGTTACTTCGCTGTGCCTGAAAAGCGCTTCGCAAACAGAGACTGCAATGATTGCAGTGACCTTTGTGCGCCCGGTAACCGGAACAGAATCGCTCCAGGCAAAGCCCGAGGCCAGCCAAGACGTACGATTCTCCTCCCCTCCCGCCGCGAGATAAGGGCACGCGAGGGAGAGTCACTCCCCTCCTCCAAGCGGGGCAAATTACGCGTGGGAGATTAGAGCACGCGCTCCCGCGCGCTCCTTGTGCCATCTTGCTGGTAATGCTGAAAACACATTCTCCCCGAAATGCCCATAAGCAGCAGTAAGTGGTAAATATAAGTAGCTTGCCGTTTGAACGGTGAAGGTCATGCTTCTCGGCGGCTCAGTGGTTAACCCCTCGCACTCACAATTGAGAGGAGCCAAGTTCGATTCCACGCGCCGTGGTCTTTTCCGTTTTTTTTTTATTTTCGTATATACACAGATACGTAAACATATACGGTGAGTGACGGCGACGTCGATGCCGGTGGCAAAATCCAGCCGAGAGTGCCCATATAATTGCTATCGCAATAAAAAAAGTTTTCTACTTATTTTTTTTTTCTTGCAGGCCTGGTGGCACACATGTCACCGCCTCGTTATCAAGGGGACGCTCATAGCATCCATCAATCCATCCGTCAGTTTTCGACGGCCCGCACAGTCGCCTCCTCACGACTACGTCCACTTCACTCTAGTCGCTTCGTAAGCACGGCAGGACGACGTTCCTAAGATGAGTATTAGGCATGGGTACCGATATTCTCCCCAAGCCCCCTCACCTGCCTGACCTACTTCATAGAAGAACGCCTTAGACCTCCAAGTCTGTTATTTATGATCGTTAGGCATTTGACTTACGGCAGCGGCCAATAAAGGGGCACGTGGTTAACGTACCAACCAACGTTGCCAACACTTTGCAGTGGTGGCCGCTGAACGTGTCCGACAATGCTGCCTTCGACGTACACATGCGCCGGCCGGCTTGTTAACAAGCCGTTCTACAGAAATGGCCTATCCAAGAAACGCCCTGTGCACCTCCGAGCAAGCATTTTCTAACATCATACACTTCGTGGATAGGGCGGCGATTTTTTTCTATTTTTGTTTTTCATCACCGTATAGATGTACGACGCTGTGTATCATGGGCTTCATAGCACACCAATGCTTATAAGCCGCCAGTCAGAACTAGCCGCGTGACGCCAGTGTCAGGGTAACAACCTGTATTGGCCGATTCGGGTTACGCCATCACCTTGTAAGTATCGGGCGATTACGACAAATATGTTGGCCCATTAACGCATTTTAGGAAACAAGTGTGGAAATACCATCGCTTGCCCCGCCGCAGTGGTCTGTGGCTATACTCGGCTGCTAACCCGCAGGTCGCGGGATCGAATCCCGGCTGCGTTTTCCATGGAGGCGAAAATGCTGTAGGCCCGTACGTTCAGATTTCGGTGCACGTTAAAGAACCCCAGGCGGTAGACATTTCTTCTTAGAGCGCACAGCATCCAAGAAGTATATCAGACGAAAGCTCCCTGAACAACAACGCTTTATTTGATGCGGCTATCATTCTTATAGCCACCGTGAAATGATATCAAGTGCGATCAGGTGCAACTCATTGATTGATATGTGAGGTTTAACGTCCCAAAACCACCATATGATTATAAGAGACGCCGTAGTGGAGGGCTCCGGAAACTTCGACCACCTGGGGTTCTTTAACGTATGCCCAAATCCGAGCACACGGGCCTACACCATTTTCGCCTCCATCGGAAACGCAGCCACCGGGCTTCGAACCAGCGACCTACGGGTTAGCAGCCGAGTACCTTAGACCACCGCGGCTGGGCCGGGTGCAACTCAGTGCAAACGTAAATAAACATTATCTCTAACAGTAATGCACACGCACGTATAGCGCAATCTACTTTGCAGCCCTAAGGAAGTGTGGTATAGTTACTTGCTGAACTATGAAGAACGCGGGGCAGGGGTAAAACACGCTTTTCCCACGCTCTTAACGGCAGTGCAAATAACTGTACTATGAATCATACCAACTCGCTTGAAACAGTGCCCTTCTGAGTAACAGTATTTTCATTTTCTCAAAAGTGAATCACGCGTCTTCAGCAGGCTAAATGATTTGTGTCAAGGGAGTGAGCGTGAGCTTAAAAGCCGCCTGTCACCTATTGTGCTGTCTGATATGCGAGGCAACTGTCCTGATAAAAAACACTGCAGCGCCATGAATTCACGAAAGCTGGTGTGACAGCCACCCGAAAGGCCACTTGCGTCAACACAAAACGGCAAAATTTTAACGCGTTTTTAGGTAGTATTCTTACCTAAGAAACGCGCTAATACAGTACCTAATATGCATTATTGTTCACGTCGCACGACGTCGGTTGTTCCTGATCACAAAGTTTTCGCGTAAACCGAAAAACCATAAAGAATATTAGTTTCGGTTACGTTTTCGTTCCGGTCAAAAATAACTTTCGTCTTTGCTTTTCCTTCCGTTCACATCGATTGAGCTTCGACGTCAAAGCCTACCAATACCACGGCGAGAAGAGGGACACATAGAAAGAGTTTGCGGATGAAAGGATGAAAGGCAAACTAACCTGTCCGCTATACCCGAGCTGCGGGAATCCAAGGTCAACGGAACCACCCTCGCCCCCCCATGATCGATTGACATGTGAAGTTTAACGTCCCAAAACCACTGTATGCTTATGATAGACGCCATAGTGGAGGGCTCCGGAAATTTTAACCACCTAGGGTTCTTTAACGTTCACCCAAATCTGAGCACACGGGCCTACAACATTTCCGCCTCCATCGGAAATGCAGCCGCCGCAGCCGGGATTCGATCCCGCGACCTGCTTGTCAGCAGCCGCGTACCTTAGCCACTAGACCACCGCGGCGGGGCGGTGAATGATGCCCCTTCCACAGCAGCAATGACGACCTGATGACACTTATATACGGCATTTTTTTTTTTGCGCAATGCTATAAAAAAATTTGTTCGCGTTCGGTGACCCTATAAGCTAAGGTGAGCGGTGTGTACGGTGTGCAAGGTGTGCGGGCCACGGGATCACGTGGCCAAAGGCATCGACACGCTATCTAGTGACGAGACGCCTGCTGCGGTGCACATGCGCGTCCCGTTGTATCAGTTGGCCTCTCATGTCGCTCTCTCCGATGAGCTCGTAGCCAAAACGACACATGGGT